GGTACTGGTCTGGGACTGACCATCCTACACATATCACACATCACGTACACACACACACACACACACACACACACACAACACTAAACTCTCAGTTGGGAAAACGCTACACATCCAATACAACATTGTCAGCATAAAATGATACTACAACATACGTGCAGTACAAATGTACATACTTACCTGTTGGATTTTGCAGACTGAAACCGACAGGACTCTGAAATAACAAAACGAATACTAACACATAAATTTCACAAATTTCCTTGTGTTATGTACACGTGCATTCACGGCAGCCGGACCGAGAGGCAATAAGACATTTATTACACAAGACTGGCAGGCACGTAGCATTAAATTGTACCCGCATGCATGGACTAGCTTCTCTAGTCGCTATATATTACTTAGACTATGGTAACAGCAAACTCAGCATCAAACCTATACATACATCATATATATTACATACATCTAGATTTGTATGGTGTGTGTGTGTGTGTCATTTGTGGATGATCTAAGTACACTATTAGCAGCTCTACGAACAGTACACATTGTGCCATCGGTTGCTCACTTGTTGTGTCGTTTGACGATCTCTGCAGGAGTGGGGCTGCTTATTGCCGTGTCGGCAATCTTGAGCCGGCTGACCCGGATTGAACACGGACCATCTGTAGTGTGCGCGTGTGTGTGTATGTGGAGGGAGGGGAATTTGAAAGAGAAAAACAACAGACAAGCTCTGGGCCAATAACACTCATTAACCAAAAATTGCAGGGCCTTTGTCCCTTGGACAAACTGTATATACATATACACCTTTGTTAACATAAGTAGAATATTATGCAGTATAATATATAACTATGGTAATAAACTCACCAAGCAAGTAGCCAAATACTTCTCCGTACACAGGATGACAGATGGCCGAGTACTCAGTGTAGTACTTGCTGCACATGTTAACGAGAGAGAGAGAGAGAGAGAGAGAGAGAGAGAGAGAGAGAGAGAGAGAGAGGAGAGAGGAGAGATGCAGTTTCTAAATGACTACCGTGTCCACAGAGCACCAAACTTAATAACAGTTGTGGATCACTATTGAAGTGGAAATGACAAACTTGTAGGACATTTATAATAATATACTGAAAGCCCCAAACTTTTGAGGTGCTAAATTAAATTTGCAGAAAGTTTAACTTTGTTCTCTACCAGAAGTGTAATGTAATTACTAATTAATTGTTGACATAGCAGGAGAGCAGTCAGGTAAGGCGGGGTTAAGGGTCAAATGCACATACATACACTAAAATGACACCAAATGAGCCCAAACTGTATAGGGGCTTCCTTCCTGGAGACTTATAGAAACCACTAGGGCTGTTCCTAATGCTATTAACCTTGGCAATGCACCTCTTCCTGAAAAAGTGAACTACACATGGGCAGCAAAGCAAAGCCCTGCTGGGGCGATATTTTCTCATATGTGCATTGTAGCACATAATTATTTCAAGGAAATGCTACCTTACAAGAGCTGGCCACCAAAAACTAAATTGTATGGGTACAGTATTGCAATACAATAAGTACAGTGTGTTCTGATGTCAATACTGTGCTGATCAGCACTTTTTGTCGCAGTAGATGCAATTACACTTAGCCACTGGCGCATATAAAACATGAAAGAGTGAGGAGTGGACAAGAGGGGAGAGGAGGATAAAGAGAGAAGAAAGAGGAGAGAGAAAAAGAAAGGAGAGAGAAGGTGAAGAGAGTGAGAGACTGACTCTGCATTCTTGATGATCTCGTTGACAATGGTGACGAGGGAGTTCTCGATAATGGCGACCCTGAGCCAGAGGATCCGCCTCTCTGTGGTGGAGCTGGTGACCAGGTGGGCATAGTCCTCTGACGATGAGGAGTGTGACTGGGGAGGGTGGGAGGTGAGGGAGGGAGGGAGGAAGTGGAGTGGGGAGAGGAAATGAAGCAGGGAGAAGAAGATAGTTGCAAGGAAGGAAGGATTCACAATCAATCCCTTGAACATACACAGAGTTGGCAAAGGATGTGGTTCTAGTTCAGAGTGCCTATTGGAATAAGTCTTCCTTTCCATTTCATTCCTCTTGACTGCTACCAATATGTTTCCTGTGCTCTCTATACCCTCTCTTTCTCCCCTTCACCTGTCTTTCTCCACCCAAGTCTCAAGAAAGATCCAGAAGGAGGGGAGAGGAATGGGAGGGAGAGAGAAAGAGTGAGAGGGGACTTACTTTTGCTCCATAGCACTTGTCAAAAGTCGCGGCAGCCACGGGGAATCTACGTCCGAGATCGGCCAGAATCTTGGCCGACGAGGACAGCTGCTTGCTGGTGGCATATCTCTTTCTCACACCGTAGGACAGAACCTCCTCCACTGATACTGTCATTGGGACCATTAGTGAATACATACATACATACATGTACATGTACGTACACCTTATAGTGGGATGCTTTTGAGGGAGGTGAATTTTGCAGTTGGAGGTCAAAAAGATTCTCACTCAGAGTGTCCCGCTATACGGTTGGGTAGTCTAGTTACGGTCGATCGAGTTTAGGAAGAAACGTCAAAATGCAGGTGCATAGTTATTATACTCTGATTAGTGGGAGGAGTTAAGGTTGGCAGTGGGGGCCCGCGGAACAGTACAAAGAAACACTCTCCGAGACGCTTTGTCTCTCAAACGCTCTCCTCTTGAGATATTGCGGTATAATACGTACTCACTGCAGAAGGAGACGAAGGAAGATTGCGACCAATGGACTTTGTTCTTTGTAGCTGCTAGCTCTGCCAGCTGCTTGGCCTTTAGAGAGAGGTGAGAGGTGAGAGGTGAGTGGGAGGGAAGACAAGAAGGGGGAACGAAAAATGGGAAGATGGAAAGAGGAGGAGAGAAAGGGAAGGTTAGCAGGAGGGTAGGAGGTAGAGAGAGAGAGAGAGAGAGAGAGAGAGATGAGAGAGAGCAATAAATGTCTGGCTTCGACTATTACAGAACATGCAGCCTTATGACAGAGAAGCTGTGCTAGTGTGAGAGGGTCAGTTGGCCCAACTCTCCATTTAGTGGGTCTACAACTCAGTCTACACTGGAGGTGGGGTGATCAAGACCCTATCATACACATGCTGTTGGTGTACAAGGTGCTTGCTCCGAAACACATGAGACGGCCCAAAAGTGTGACTAAGGGACCTACTACTACGTAGGTATAATTATACACACAAAAGTGTGACTGCTACGTAGGTATATACACCACCAAAAACAAGCAACATACCAGTAACAAAGTGCGACATGCAGTTTTCGGGCATTACAAGTACACTAATTTGACATACGCCAACCCTTGCTACAAACCATATTGTACAATACATATACCCCACAAAGAATACAACTCTACATTAGAATCTACTGCAGTCTTGAAAATTCACCCAACATGAAAAGCACTAAAGTGCAAACCCTCAGCGAAGTAGCTCGCAGAGAGTCTGACACGGGCTAGCTACAGCACGCGAGAGTCGATACACGCCCTTCACTGTGGCTTCTTGTGCCTTCAAGACAGGCGGACGTCAAGCCTGTGTTAAATATAAGCGCATGCGCATTATCCGCCAGCGATAAAATGGCGACTACCGGCATTAGCCATACAATGCTGGAAGCGCTCTAGTTCTGCAACGGAGCATTTTCAGAGAAAACCCCACATATTTTCTGACCTTCGTCGCCCGTTGGGTAGATGGTATCGTTTCTGGGACGAACAGACATTCAAGAGGTGAGATGTAGAGTAACACACAGACAAACCCAACTACTGTAACCCTCGCTGCGCATGCGCGCCGAGGGTTAATAATGCAGTGAAGAGTGTAAAAATACTTCCCGGTTTGGCATAATACAAGCTCAAAGAAGAAGGGAAGTGTGAGCATATTCACCATGGATAGTGTGCTAAACAGTTGATGGATGAATACTTCTAGGGTACACATGCACCAAGCTCATTCAGTAGTTACAGGTCCTGGCATGGCTGGTTCGTTCATTCATTTGCTGTGGATGCAATGTGTGACAAACCGGGCAAAATATGACGCCAACCAGTTTAACTTTCATGCATTGTGTATGTAGTGCTTCTCCTGTCAATAACTAATATGTAGTAATTGACAGGGTGAGCAATTGTCAATAGTTCTAGTGACAGTAGGGCTTGGCGCATTTACGTATGGAGAACGGATTTGTCTAATCATCAAATGTTGCATTTGTATAACTGTATATTGCATAGAGTGTTATACACAATAGGAACTCTCCTTTACAAATACGACAGTAGTTGGGGAGTTATTGTAGCATACATACCTCCTGTTTACACTTGTTGATGAGGGCCTCGCATTGAATCTCACGTTGCTCCATTGATGTATACACTAGCTGGAGGAGAGAGAGGGGGAAAGGGGGAAAGTGGGAGAGAGGAACAGAGAGAGAGGGAGGAGAGGGAGGGAGTTACAGTGAAGATTTGACTGCCAAGGGAACATACAGTTACGTGGCAAACTACGGTCTACTGCAGAGGTAACCACGTTTATGAACAGGCTACGAAAGATATACCCGCTAGCTTCGTATGTCTGAGCCATGAGAGAGCAATGAACTACTCCGCCTGGCATACGCTCACTGACTCCCTGCATGCACTGTATGTACAGCCGGGGATAAACTCGGGGGTGATGCGCTCACCAAAGTGTACACAGAAGGAGTAGGGTAGCACGCTCGACGGTACAAGGCATAGGCCGGTCACTCTGGAGGCAAAGGTATCTCTGCTTCCTCTGTCTCTTGCACACGCAACACTGGCTACCCCAACACGGAGCAGACGCAAGCGCTCATCATTGGATCGAACCGGAGATCGATATCGAGAGCGAGCATCCGCTTTTTCCGCGCTTACGCATGCGCACAAGACTTCAATTAGCGTCACTTACATTCCATGACCACACTACCGGTTTTCTGTGTGCAAGTTGACAGTGAAGGCTGGTACCTGTTGTGGACTAAGCAAGGACAAAACGCGGCATAGGAGACTGTGTATAGGTAAAGTTCTTATGTCTGCTTTCTTGATGTGCCATTATTGTCCGTCCTATTCGGTCGTAGTTCGTCTCTCGCCTCTTATAACCTACCCCTGTAGTGACAGGTAATCGCATTAGACCTTGCGATCGGTGTGTACTTGTGTCTATCCGATCCTTCCGCTAATGCACACGCCAACGTTCTTTTTGTGCAGGTAATCAACACACAGCGTTCGGTATACACGAGGTTCGGCCAAGACGCGCAGCCGGACAAAGACCGTTATTTTGCCCGCACATAGCTACATCGGGACCGAGCGGTAGATACACGATGCCGTGCAGAACAGTGACAGTGGTCGCAGGGCTCGCCCTATTTTCTCTCTCTACCGTGCTGGCTACGCCGGTATCCAAGCCCTTGGCCTTTTTGCATCACTCCAATCAGGCCATGTCCAACTTCCTGGACCGTATAGCGGCAACGTGCCCCGACATCACCAGAGTGTACACAATTGGCTATTCCGTCAAGAATCAACCGCTCAAGGTAATAGAGCTATCCGACAACCCAGGCATGCACGAACCCGGAGAACCGGAGTTCAAGTACGTAGCCAACATGCACGGGAATGAAGTCACTGGCAGAGAAACGCTCCTTCATCTAATCTATGCTCTGTGTGTTGAATACGGCAGCAATGACAGGATAACTAGACTGGTGGACAATACTAGGATTCACATCCTGCCGTGCATGAACCCCGATGGCTACAACAAGGCACATGTGGGCGATGTTCAGGGGACCAAGGGTCGAGTAAACGAACACGGGATGGACCTGAATCGGAACTTTCTGGACCGATTTCCAGGTCGTACCCAGCCGCACCGCGAGCCCGAAACTCTCGCCGTCATGAACTGGATTCACGAATACCCGTTTGTCCTCTCTGCCAACCTCCACAATGGGGCTCTAGTGGCTAACTACCCGTATGACAACAGTCCCGCTGGACACCACATGTACACCTACAGTCCCGATGACGACATCTTTCGGCAACTTGCACTGGCGTACTCTGAGGCCCACCCCACCATGCACCTCGGCAAGCCCTGTCCAGGAGACAAGTCTGGTTTCAAAGACGGTATCACCAACGGTGCGGATTGGTACAGCGTTGATGGCGGCATGCAAGACTACAACTACCTAAACTCCAACTGTTTCGAGATCACGATCGAGCAGGGTTGCACCAAGTTTCCTCACGCTGTGGAACTGGAAAATATATGGCGTAGCAACAGGGGGGCGCTGCTTACTTTCATCGAGGAGGTGCACAAAGGGGTTAAGGGGTTTGTGGTTGATTCCGATGGGGCTGGTATCCACAATGCCACGATTGATGTGTCTGGTCGTGAACACAGTGTTCGCTCGGCAGCCGACGGCGATTTCTGGCGCCTGCTTGTTCCCGGTGAGTACACTCTCTCCGTGTCGGCCAAGGGGTACCACGACGCCAAGATCGACATTTCAGTTGGGAGTGGAGCTGCGACAGAAGTGCAAGTAATTCTCGTCCGCAGAAATAGTGACACTGCAACAGACAACGGTGTTATTGACATTAGTGCTAGCAGTGAAGACGATAAGGAAGGAAATCTCTCTGAAACACCAACAGATGAAGATACAAACACGGCAGCCAGCGATGACAAGCCAGAGGAAAACACCAACGAATCTACAGCAACAACAACAACAAATACAACGTCATCTGCAACTACAACAACAACAACAACAACGGAAGATTCAACGGTCGAAAACTCTTCTGGATCTGGTGCTGCCGACATGTCTGAATCTAGCAGTGATTCCAATTCGACAGAAAACGACATTGCTACTGCACAGAACGAGCCTGAAGGAAACTCACCCACTCACCGCAAAAGAAAACCACCAATTGTGGCTGGAATGACGATGCTGGTCGTCATAGTGCTCCTCGTGATCGCCATCTTCACCCTGTCGATCTTGATTGCCTACCATGCTCGCGCCGGGCGCAACTCGCGCAACGGCTACCGGAAGGTCTCCGTGGAGGATGACGCAGACAGCACTGTCAGTCCGTTCAGCAACAGCAACGAGAACAACAACACACTCGAGAGAGAGAAGAAATACTCGCTGGCCTATCAGACCCAGCACCGACTGCTAAGCGACGACGAAGAACAGGTAGTTTACTCAAGACCAGCGATACTCCAAGACTCAGCTTGAAGCCCTTTCCGCTCCACCCCAGCACAACGAAAACGAAACACTCCAATTCTCATGATTTTCATGCTTTTTTGATCCTTTTCACACGTACTCTTGTGTATAGTAGGTACTTGGGAGTATGTGGTTGTAATTCCACGGTTAATGATTCAAATTATTGTTTTCTGAATGATTTGTCAGAGTGCCAAATACACTCTTAGTGCAACTAGACAAATACACCACATTTTTGGCAAGTGAATGCGAGTACGAAATAATTTTAGTACACATAAATTAGAAGCACAATTCAGGCACTAAGAGGGTTTCATCGCTTGCCACAAGCTCAGTATATACTAGTAGGTGCACTATACTGATTACATTCATTTTGCACAAAAATACAGATCTAGAGCTGCTGAGGTGAGCTCAATGTGTGATACATAAATGAAAGTGAAAATAGCACAATATGTTCATGAATTTAGTTCACTACTGCCTGTGCTGACTACATTAGGAGGAAGTGAAACGGGAATGTTTTTCGCTGAATCCGAAACTATTTCGTCACTCTCCAAAGAAGGACTGTTCTTTCCAGACCCCACAACAGCCTCAGCTGCTGTTGCGGTGCTGACTTGCGACTGGATGCTCTGAGACAGGGGGATCTCCGCAGTGGTGGATTGTGAGGGAGTTGTGTCATCACTTCCTGGGTGCAGAGGAAGTGAGGGGGTCGTTATTATCCACACTTCCTGCTGATGTAATTATGGGCTCGGCAGGAGCAGTAGGTGCGAGAACATCACTTCCCGATTGTTTATTAGTACCCTTTCCTTCCACGGTTGGTTTAGTCATAGATCTTCCTTCTTGTGGAGCGGTCGAAGACTCGTCTAAACTGTCTCCCATCGTCACTACCTCCTCAGATACCACTTGGGGTGTCTCTTCCGTCTGGTTTTCTCCCCCCACACCCTTTTCTCCATCCTCGGCGCACTCTTCACCTCCTTTGTTTTCTGAAGCAGTGTCAGTGTCTTGCGGAGGAAATGGGCGCACTAACACATCTGTCGGTGAGGATATTCCTTCGCTATTGCTGTCTCGTCGCTTGCTACTTCCCATCCCCTCTTTTTCGCCTTTTCTTCCTCTTTGTCCCTCTCCTCCCCCTTCACCGGCTCCCCCAGCAAGTAAGGAGCTAACGGCTTGAAGTAGAGTGAGGTCGGGGTTCAAATGCTGAAGTGCATCGGGTCGCATTCCAGCCAGCGCCTGTGATAGAGCGATGGTGGCCACTTGACCTTCTGAAGTGCCAGTGACTGTATCGGAACTAGCAATGAACTCCTCCGGTTGCACTACCACTTCTTCGGCGTTACTAGCTGCCAAGAGTTCATTTGTCTCTTCCATCACCGCAGAGTAAGGGGTAGCTGGTGGGGTTTTTGTGCTACGCACTGATCGTTGGCTCCCTTGACTGGCCAAGTGCTGCTCTTTACTGCTCTCTTTCCCCGAGCTACGGCACCTCTTCCAATAGTAGAGGGTCCCGGGGCTCACGCCAAACTTCTGGGACGCCTCTTTTATGGTGTGATCAAGAGCGTATTGCAAGATCTGGACCTTCTCCTGTGGCGTGCAGCGAGGCTTTGCCACGTGGCCCTCGGAGGACACCACATCGTATTCCATCCCAACATTCTCAATGTCCACGTCGGTGGTCACTTCCAGTGGAATGTTGCTGTTATTGACACCACTGCTGGCCCCCGTTTCTTGCACCGGCGGTTCTCCCTGCTCCCCTGTGTCCACGGAACCCTCCGCCGCCCCACCTCCGACGCTCCCAGTCACTTCAACCACTTCCCCGCCATCGACGACAAAGTGGAACACTACCTCCGAAGAAGACGCTTGCGAGTCTCCTGCCCCCGAGGTGGTCTCCATAACCTCTGTCTGCACGTCCTGGCTCAGCAGGCTGCTTGTGTCACCCGACAGCTCGCCGTCGGCTTGAAGAGCCTTTCGCCAGTTTGAGATGGTCTTCCCTGTGATCCCGTACCTCTGTGCAGCTTCCTTCAGGGAGTTCGTCTCCGCAAACTTTATGATGTACTTCTTCTGCATCGCACTGTATTTGGGTTGGTGGAGCTTCAGTTCAACCCTCCAGCGCCACACGGTCGGAGCCGCAATTCCATACTTTATGGCCGCTTTCTGGAGTGTAGTGGCATTGGCGTAGCGAACCACTTCTTCCTTCTCCTCCACGGAAAACTCGCGAGCAGATTTTCCAAAGTATGTGTTGGAAGAGCTGTCCTTTTCTGGGGACGTAAGAGTTGCTGCACCTTTCCCCTTTGTGGTCTTATCCTTTGCACTGCTGTCTTTGGACCTACTACTAGTAGTAGGTAGTGATGGAGTCCCCTCATCCTTCCCACTCTGTCCTGTCATGCTCCCTTGGATCAATTCGGCAGCTTCACCGACCAAGCTGTCAACTTGCACCTCAAGTTGTGGTGGCTGTTGAACCTGCTGCTTGGGCTGCTCGTGTTGTACTTGCTCCTCAGTTTGGGCCACTTGCTGCTGAGCCAGCTCGTCTGTTTGTTGCTCTGCCTGGTCATGTGGTTGCCCCTCTGCTTCCTCCGGTCCTTGCTGTTCTGATGGCTCCTGTTCCTGCTGCTCTACCTGCTCCTTTCTTTGCTGCTCGTCTTCTTGCACCTCTGTTTGTGCCTCTGCCTGCTCCCGTGCTTGCTGCTCTTCCTGAACCTGTGCTTGAGCGAACTGCTCCTGAGCTTGCAACTGCTGAAGCTGTTGCTCCTGCTGCTTCTGTTGCTGCTGGTGGAGTGCACGCAGAGCCACTTGCAAGACAGCCTGTACCGAAGGCTGCCCAGACTCCTGGGACTGACTTGAGAGAGCCAGAAGTGCCTCGCAGAGGTTGCCTGTACTGGGCGAGACCGAGGTGTCCAGATCCGTGCAAGGCCTCTTCGGAGTGCTGTCTGGCTCTAATTGTTGCGTTGGATCGGAGATCTCTTGCTGGGTAGACAGTGTTCGCTTGCGAGAGTTTGGGGTGGAGCGAATGGACGCAATGTTGGGCTTGGGATCAAGCATAATGCTGTGGGTGTAGAGGAACATAAAGGCCCAGCTCAAGGAGGCAACAAACATTGGGTTCTGGGGAATTACCACTTCCTCTGCGTAACGGCAGAGTTCCTGAAGCGAGAGGCTCCCGTGAGCTGCCACATTCTCCTTTGCCCACGTCACAAGGTGCTTCTCCATCTCTTCTGGGTAAGGCCGGTCCTGGCTGTACTCGTGAGCGATTACTTCTTCGGTCTGAACTGCAGCAGGGATGTCCTGTTGATCTGTGACCACGGCGGGAGACGACTTTTCACAATCAGGCATGATCCCACTCGGACCCGGGGAGCTAGCAATGCTAGGACCTGCAACGGAGCCCTTGCCAGCAAGCTGGAGGCCATGGCGCAGCAGGAACTTCTGCGCCCATCCGCTGGACGCGGTGAAATTGGGGTTCTCCTCGCGAATGACGCTCTGTGCATACTTGGCCAGTTCTGCCGGCATTACCTGTATCCCAAGCTTCTGCTGGGCATTGACCCACTGAGCAATCGCCTCATCCTTCACCCTCGAGTAAGTAAGGGGTCGCCCCTGACCGGACAAGTTCGAGCGTTTCTTGTTGACTGACAGTGCTTCCAGCTCGGCACCTTTCTGCTGAACTAGCTTAATCCACCCGGCGAGGGTTGAGTTGGCGATACCCAGCATCCGACAGACGTAATGAGGCGCAAGATTGTTCTCTTGCATGAGACGTACAACGTCAAGCTTCTCCGACAGCCTATGCCTGTTACGCTGGCCTTTGACCCTTTTCTTTACCGAGAACTTCCCTTCGTCTCTTTGGGGTGTGAACTTTTGCGGGGTGATTCTCTGTCTTTTTGGCCTCCCTTCTTCGCTGCCAAGTGGCTGGCCATCAATGGTCACTACATGCATACTCTCTGGCCCTAGAGAGAGTGTGGTTGCGGTCCGAGGGAGTGCGAGGGGCGCCTCCTGCAGCTGAGCAACTAACTGCATGTGATCAGCCGAGGTGCACTCGGAAGCCAGGTTCTGTATCCCTTGCTCCAGGACGGCCCTGATCCCTTCCAGGGTGGCCGGGGAGCACGATGTCACCGTCGTTGGAATCATGGAGGGCTCCTCGGAGGTCACCACTTGGACGGGAACCATCATCTGTTCAGGGGTCAGTGGATGCTCCTCCTGGATGATGTGGTGGACAGAGGACGGTGTGTGCTCGGGCAGCGACGGCGGCTGCACGGCCAGTGAAGTCTGTCCGTCCTCCATCTCGATGTAGTGGGGGGAATCTGCCTTTCGGGGCATTTTCTTCTTGTTGATTGATAGGTCGAGACCGTGGCGCAGTAGGAATGGAGTTACCCAACCCACAGACGCATTAAAGTTTGGGTTCTCTGAGCTGACCAAGTCTTTAGCGTAACCTCGCAGCGATGCAAATGTCACCTTCTTTCCTGCCGCTTGCTGTCCCTGGACCCACTTTGCCAGTATCATGTCGGTCTCCTTTGCATAGGAGAGAGGGCGACTTGCATGATTGGGGTCCAGCTCTTGCTGTGCGGCACGGGGCGGGTTTGGAACGGTGGGCGCCTGCGTGTTAGGATTGACTTGAGTGGCAGCAGCGCCAGTCAAACCACTAGCAAACACATCGGAGCTACTGCTGAGACCAAGGTAGATTCCGGAAGTCGCGGAATCAAGTCCGTGAGCAATAAGGTGTGCGGCAGTTGATCCGGACTCGCCTGCTTGCTCTTGTATCTGCTGGGCCATGTTCAGAAGCTCCACCAGAGTGACGGTGTCCGAGGTGAGTTCGCTGAGTGTCGACTGCAGAGAGGCCACCTGCTGTGCAGTAAGCATTGCCGGGTCAATGTTTTCTCCCATTATAATAGCCAGGGCTTGTTTCATGGGGTCGTCTGTGGGATAATCTGTGGGGAGACTCATGACACCGTCAGAGAGGGATGGGTTTGAGAAACCTGGAGACGAAGAGGCCACAACGTGCATCTCTGTCCCAGGATTGAGGTGAGAGTTTGCAACGGACGTGGTTGACACGCCGGGAATGGCAGAGGTGAAGTGGGGGGAGGAGGAGAGGACAGCACTCGAGTACTGGGCCTGGCTGCTTGTGAGCAGTGGGGTAGTGGACAGCAGAGGTGTGGAGGGAGAAGCAGGGCTCACCCGAGAAGGCACGGTGGGTGAGGGAGAGGTACTAGATGCAAGCTCCTTGGTCTCCGCACCCTGAAGGTTGATCTTGTGCCTGTGAAGGAAATTTTGAGCCCAACTGGCTGAGCCGGTAAATCGACTGTTCTCTTTGACAATAATCTCCTTGGCATAGCGTCTGAGCTCGGAATTTGTGAGGCTGTACCCACCGGCCAGCTTCTGACGGACGTAGTTAGCAATGGCTTGGTCCGTTTCGATGGAATACGACAGGGGTCTACCCCGACTGTCGGGGCCCCTGTCCCTCTGCAATGTCGCCGTCTCCCGCCGCTGATCTCTCTGCTCGGATAGATCGATGTTGTTTCGGGCGAGAAACCGGTTCGCCCAACCCGTCGAGGCCACAAACTCGGGAATCTCCTCCTGAACGCGGCTCCTGGCAAAGAGGCAGACACTCTGCATCGTCACCTTTTCTCCCCTACTCAGCAGCTCCCGAATGTGCTCGGCCATTTCGTGCTCGAGCTCGGCCGAGTACGAAATCTTCCTGCCCTGTCCGGGGGAGTTGTATTTAGGTGTCAGTGCCACCGAGCTGGATTTCATCCACTTTTTTATTGTGGCTACCGGAACACTGAAGCGTTTCGAGGCCAGGTTCAATGAGTACTGTTCGGCAAAGGCTACGATGTCTTCCTGCGTCGGGCCAGCAGTGGAAGAAGGAGACATCGAGAGGGGAGGGAGTGTTTCTAGATCTCCGGTCTCCATGGCCGTGTCTCCCCCCTTGCCTGCTCCCTCTCCTGCCCCGTGTTGCTGTGTGGCAGACCAGTCTTGGCCGGCCTCCTGCTGTGCCAGTTCAGTTTGTGTTGGATCACTGCTCAGTAGGGAGTCTGTCCCTGTCGTTACCTCAGCTTGAATAGTGGCACCCCTAAAAGAGAGAGAGAGAGAGAGGGAGACTATGACTCATTTACAAAAACCTTATAGAGCTGCAGCAACAATTCCACCCAAAAGCAGGAGCATATAGTGTGTGGGTAAAATGAGAGGAAAAGTACTTCTGGATAACACACAGGTCTTGGATCAAAGAAGAGTGGACATGTAGCAGATTGATGATTAAGAGACTTGCCAAGGCACCATTACCACACACTCTGGCACTGTCACATCATACAGACAAGACATTAGGCTTCGTTTTGGCCTCTTTGGACAATTTTAGAACCACCCAAGTGCGTCTGATTGGACGAACGACTGATCCTTATCTAGTAAACCCCCGTTGAGTTCTTGTAATCTTAGCTGCACATTTGATCCACTATAACTATTATGTTACACATTAACCACAAAGATGATCCTATTGCAGTGGCTTTGGCTTTCACTAGAATGAGACTTACACACATACCACCCATGAGAGGCTTATTGCACAATGTTCCAGGGAAATAGGAAGCTTCCTGTTCTTGTATCAACACTCGCTAGACTAGCAGACAGTAAGTGTATATGTTGTGCACAAACAAATATTCAAGCACCAGCAGTGGGCTTTAGAGGAAAGCGATATGAGTGAGTAAACTGTCGTATCGTATGACTAATGAAACATACAAGGGTATTTTGTGGGTATTATATCCTTTAAAAGTATGTATATACCGTGACAGAGCCCACATAAAATTAGCACACTGAGCAGTTTCGTAGTATATACATTCACTGTGTGTAAAAGAACCCTCGTTAATTAATTAGCTGCTTTTGCAGAAAAGATTCCCAAGTTTGTAGTGTTAACCTGTCGGTTGTGGTACGGGAGAGATGAGACAATCCACATATCTCCTCCGACACTGTTTGGGCCACACCCGTTGTGACCTCTGACCCTACTGTACGGATGATGTCACTTTCACTACGGACGATGTCGCTCTCACTCAAAACCTCAGTCTCCATTGAAACCTGGGGGAAGAGGGGAGGGGGTGAGAAGGAAGAGAGGTGGAGAAGGGAGGGAAGAAGGAGGGGGAAGAATTGGGAAAGGGAAAGGAGAGAGAGAAGGGAGAGAGGGGTGAGAGAAAGGGAGGTAGGGAAAGAGAGGGGAGAGTAGCTTCAATCTCCACGCTAACACTAGCCAGGTAAACGTGGTTGGTAACCTCATTGTGTAACATTCCCAGACCAATTAGCATGCTACAGGCAACATCGCATTACTAGAATTAAGGCAACACATTCCTGGCGAGTGAATACGAGTGCAAAATTTAACGCAAGAGTGCATGGTCTCATCAGTCACGGTATGGTTAGATTGCTGTCTAACTACAGAAAAGGCACGCAATTCGGACGACTAGGTGAGCTCGTTTTGCTTACCCGGAATGCAAAGGTAAAACGAAAACGTTGAAAACGGTTTTTGTTACTACATGCATATGCCCACCTACATAACAACAGTCACCATGTAATAATACAGGCAATATAAAGTGAAAACATTTTCCGAAATCCCCACACAACTTTATACTCCTTCATTCTCCAAATATAAAATGTGACTCAGGTTTTAATTGGCTGCTATCACTTTAGTTCATTATTACCTCTAACTCAGGGAAACCTTTTGTACTATAAAAGTACGATAATATTAATGGCCTCCATTTTGCTGTTTATGCTGACCTCAATTCTTTCAAATGGAGAGCCTTCGCTGGCACTTCCTTCAGGATGAGCGGTGGACATTACTGCACCACAATCTCTCTATGGTCTGTGTGTGTGTGTGTGTGTGTGTGTGTGTGGTGTGGGGAGGTCCAACGGTATCCAATCTGGGTAGGCGGAGCTAAAGGCGGGCCCTATGAAAACACTTCTTTTCCAGTCGCAAAGTTACCGCACCTAACCTGCTTGCAGCCTGAGCTTCAAACTGCAACGAGGTTCCCCATGGCAGTGGAAACCACGCTATAAACGCTCGGATATGGAAGGGCAGGGTAGAAAGAGGGAGGTAGGTACATACCGGGTCCAATCTAACCGCCTTCCCAACAAAATGGCGGCTCACCTCGCTTGCGTTCGACGGCTTTTTTCCCACCGAGTTTGCGTGAGCGATACGGGACCTCCACACACTTTGCCGGCTGAGAAACGGGGGGGAGAGAGCCGGAGACAAGTAGCTAAAAAGTCTGGCTCGGCTCTGCAGGAGAAAGAAATAATTTTTCACACTCTTCAATTCACCGAATCGTGGAGTGTAAAAAATGGCGACTAATTAGCTAGCACACCTCGCGCGCATGCGCAATATAGTCCCTACGGCGCGCGCGTGCAAATCTAAATCACTAGCAAGCCAGTGGAAATAATAATGAACAAATAATCATCAAGATCAAGGTCGCCAATAGGGGATGTGGGCCCTTGTAGATGTATCGACATCTTGAGCAGCAACGTAGAGGAATCGATTGGGTGTTCTGGAGGCCAGGGAGCTGGATATGGCCGCCAGACCCACTGCACCTTTGGTCGACTGAGTCACGAGGTGCCCCTTGGCCTGCGTGGCCGACATGTGGGGATAGAGAGACATGAGAATGGCCATGTACCCAGCGACGTGTGGCGCTGCCATGGAGGTCCCGGAAAGCGTCAGAGTACATGTATCGCATTTGGATGTGGCACTCTTGATCGCAACACCTGGTGCATATATGTCTGTGCACTCGCCGGCATTGGAGAATGTAACCATGTCGTCTTCTTTGTTTGTTGCACCGACCGCGATTCCAACCCGTGCACTTGCAGGGCTGTAATTACAGGAGTCTCCCCCCTGGTTCCCGGCTGCACTGACGGCAACGATACCCTTTTCCGTGACTCTCTTAATTGCAGCATTGAGTGAAACAGAGGCCTTGACTCCAAGAGACATTGAAAACACAACTGGTCCACTGTGCACTCCCTTATCGACTTGCTTGGCGACGAAATCCATCCCTTCAACAATTCCACTCACAGCTCCAGAACCGCCGCATCCCAGTGCACGCAGACTGTAGATCTTGGCCTTTTTGGCCACTCCGTATTTCTTGCCGGCTGCAGTTGCGGCGCAGTGTGTCCCGTGGCCCTGACAATCGGCACCTTGCTGCGAGGAGCCTGTCAACTTGTCAATGGCATCAAAACCAGCATACTTTGCCCTGCCTTCAAACTCTTCGTGCGTGTATCGCACGCCAGTGTCTATGATATATATGCTTGCCATATCTCCGGTTCCTTCTGGTTTGAATACTCCGTCGAGGTGGTTGTTTCGCTGGTCGATTCTGTCGAGGTTCCACTGGACTCCAGACAAATGCTGCTCTGCTTTTTCGTAGTCTGCCTTGGAGAGTTGCCGAGTGGAGCGTTTCACAGCGACGTCTTCCTCTATCACCTCCAGGTAAGGGTACTTCGTTATCTGTGAGTGCATGAGGCATGCAAGGATTTTGGGGAGTAGGTGAGGAATGTATCAAATGGCATGCAATTCCGTGAAATCCCACTGCACTGGGCTATACACGGCTATGGATCTGCGAGCTAGGTGGAGTACTAAGCTTTGTCTAGGTGGTAATACAAAGATTTGTAGGGAAATTGAAGGTGTGCCTAAGCAATTTGGCACAGTTTACAGCCCTTTTTTTGCTTAAAGCAAAAAATATATTAGGTTTATTAGCATTAACACCATGTTTTTACTGTGTAAAAGTACAAACCCTTTAGAGCTCACCAATGTCACAGCTTTGTTGTTCATTGTGGCTGTGAAACCGAGGCCAAGATTTCTTATGGGTGTGATGTGCTCAGTGCGAATCTTTCCTTCGCTCTCCACATGCGCCCGCTGTAAAACGGTTATGGCATGGTCCAGCATTCTTTCGTTTGCAGACGCGTCCAGCATCACTATGTAGCGCCCGGGGATGGGTTTCTCCATGTACATGTAGTCGTCCTCCATCTGGATTCTGGCCTGATCCCCGCGCCAGTCGTGCAGGATGCTCGCGAGCTGATCTTGTTGCGGCTCCGCGTACCAGTCTTGCTCCAGGACGTAGCGGTAGTAGTCTTGCACGTCGACGATGTGCTGCGTATCGTCCTCGTAGTACGGGTCGTACCATTCAAGCGATGATCGCCGCACGATCCTCTCCCAATGCTCGTGATCGGTTGCTCTCCGGCCACCCTCCGTCAGCTCTTCCCACAGGTCGTCCGCGGCTTTCTTCTGGCGATCCCAGACGCCATCCGGAGGCCGTACCGCTGCAGCAGGAGCTTCTTCGGTTCGTTTCACTCCAAAAGAAACGTGGAGAGAAGCAACGAGGGCGAAAAGAGCGAACCAGGCACCGACAACGCGCATTTTGCGAGGCGTATATACGACTCTGCTAACACGTTATGCATACAACTGTAAGGCCCCCTCCTACACTGACGGAAACCTCGCAATGAGGCAGCAGTAATGCGGAATATGTTACGTATGCCGCGCACGCTCAGTAATTTTTTCATGTCTCAACAACTTGGTAGAAAGGTAGAAAGGCAAGGCAAGGCAAGTCAACTACACCCAGGACAGCTCTTCTTAGAAGAAGAGCTGCCCTGGGTGAGATTATAACCCACGGCACTCTGCAGTCTAGGCGAGTGCTCTACCAACTGAGCTACATACCAGGGCAACTCAGGACCCCCACAACACGTGTTCTCTAATCCACATGGGAAAACTAGGAGGCAGGCCCCAATCAACCCCAGGGGATGTCCAGATTACATCTGCAGCCAAAACTCAGGGCTTGTGTAATCCCCTTGTTTTTTTTGTTTTTTAAAAAAAAACAAAAAAAAACAAACAAACAAAAACACTACATATCAGAGGGAACATGTCCCTCTGCAGCGGCAAGTTCAATGTTGAGCTCACTGACTGGGCGGTGGCGAGAGGATCTACTTCCTCGAATGCAGAGGATAGCAGATCGGAGTATAGCGAATGATAGGCGGCAGCGAATCCAACCCATGACTAGAGAGTATTGCTTGTCCTGCTTCCGGGACAACTCATCAGCCAGTCTTTTGTAGAATGTCGTGGCTTCACGTGCCATACCACCAGTAGTTGAGAGGACAAGTGGTGTAAAAACCCCATGTTCAACTTCTCGAACTCTTTGGGCATATTCTCTCTTCTTTGCTGTTTCGTGTTTGCGATATGCTGCTGCAGTGGTCATCGAACGGTTGCTTGACGCGTTGGGGTGGAAAACCCTAACATCAAAAAATGCGTCTTGGCCAGTGTTCCAAAAACCACGAGCACGGATATCTAGGCGAGCGTTGGCATCAGTGTTCGCTGTGCGGTGAGGGAAAGATTCGTTGGTAAGTGGTTGTAGGAGTGGCTCGGTTGCAACATTATGGCAGATTTCTGGTTGGCCGTCATGTCACGAATCTCATTGTGGCAGATTGTTGGTATGCCGCCCATATGACAGATCATGGCATGATCTATTGAGAACGGTGTGCCACAATTGCAAGAGCGAGGTATGTTGCTCAGATTCCACCCGTATCTGAGACATACAGCATCACGAAATTCCCCCTTGTGCAGGAGGAATCCATGCTCCGCCATTGGTAAGACAGTGAGCCAAGCTGAAGAGCCCTTTTCCTGTGCCAATTCCACTGACCGTTGGAGCTGTGGTGTCAACTGTGCAGTTGTGTCTCTTGCTCGTTTTTGTTGCAGCTCTCTGTTTGTCTTCTTCACTTGTTTCTTTATGTTTAGTTGGTCGGCTTTCTCTACAGTCTGGTGGAGATCCTGTGATGCAATCAGAGCTACAAGTGGAGCTGTAATGCGTAGAGATGCTTGAAAAGCATGAGAAGAATTGGACGTGGGATTAGCCAGTCCCATTCCGCCCAGTTTGGTGGGAAGTGCTAGGAGGTCTCGTTCCAAAGCAGAGCAAGCTTCTCGCAGTGAGTGCTGGGATGAAATGCTGGTGAATAGCTGTCTCAAGGGGCTGGAGCAAGTCTTGTATCTCAGGAATGGTCCTTGAGATGTACGTCCAGTGACTGGAGAGGCCATGCGTGAAAGCAGCGTAGGCCGCATGATGGTTGGGGTGAGGGCAATTGTTGACAGACTCTTGATCTCATTAACCCTTCACCTACTTTCCCTGGAGACATACTCTTCAGTGAAGGACTTTGCACCAATTGCGGCCCCTAAATGGCGCTTGCCATTGATGGTGATGTGAACATCAGTGTCGGCAAAGAGTTGTTTGCTTTGCTTTCATGTTCCTCTTTTACAATGAGGTAAGTTTTTGAGCTGTTGGGATGGTAGCCATAGGCAGGGCCAAGACGCACAATCTCATCCCACCAATGTCTCAGCTTCTCACAAGAGCCTGCACCTGTTGCGTCATCGGCATACCATGCTTGCTTTACGTCTGGGGAGTTGTTGCTCAGAAGGTGGATCAGTGGCACTGTAGCGAGAGCATACATGGCCATGCCAGGGGATCGCCTTGAGTGGTACCTTCCGTAGATGATATTTCACGCTACCGGCAACAATCATTCTCACTGGGCTCTGTAGTGTTGTATCAGGACAGGTGCAATGGTGGGCATAGGACACGACATTATGTAATGTCAGCTCTACGATTCAAAGAGTTGAAGGCATTAGAGGCATCACCAGCAGGCAACCGTCAGTTTCAAGCATCCTGGAATATTGCCCGCTAGCATGACTACTTTTTGAACTAGCGACTACTTCCTAACTAGCATGAACTGGGAACTTTACTTGAAAACTTTTTGAACTAAACTTGTCGCCATTGGCGAAAACTTTATTCCTTCAAGCTTGGATCGCTTGAACCTTGCGCCCCTACCTTAACCTGGGCTCTTCGCTAGGACCTGCCGTGGTCGCCTGGTGAACTCCTGGCTTCTGCACGCACACTAGTGTCCGGCTTGGACTGCCCCGTGAGGAGTTAGTCAGGCTACCTGCATTGTGGGGGGTGTTCCCTATCTATTCCTTTGGGGAGGTGTTCCTCTTCGCCGTGGCGCTAACCCCTTAACTAACTTACTTGGAACTCAAGCCTTTGTACTACTTGAACCTTACTTCTTTTAAGGGCTAACTGAGGCTGTGTCCCTTCATACGCTGACTCCTTTACACCCTTTACGTTTCGTCCTTTTGTTTCACTGGACTGGTTGGTGTTCACGTGGAGTCTCTCTGTTTGTACCCTGTGAGGTCACTCGCGTTTTTCTTGTTTAAGAGAGGTTCCTGCTGGTGAGGGGGGGGTAAGGCCCGGTGATGTGAGCCGGCCTTGAGTCTCTGGAGTCCTGTCGGGAGTGCGGGGGCGCGTCAGAGGTGGATTCCCTATTTTAAGGCCTCTACGGTGGGGATCTCTTGTATTCCCTTGGGCGCGCCCCGTGGGTCCTGTGGGGCGGCGAAGTGGGTGTGGTGAACTGTAGTGAGGGAGTACTTGAGCGCTATCCCGCGTTTCCGACCCTATGGGGGTTCCTTGGTGTTAGTGGGTCCTGCGTGGCCATCCTAGGCTGTGAGGTCCATGGGGGGGCGCTTTATGGCCTGCTTTCGCGTCCTATGGCTCCCCGTGGAGGGCTTAGCTATTTTACCGTTCAGCTAGTGGAGGTGTGCGGGGTATCCCTTGCCACTGGGGAGTTTGTGTCCCGTCAGAGTATTCTGGGAATACGTGTGGGTGGCCTTCTCGTTTATGTCCCTTGGTGTACACTAAGCGGGTTTCTCTGCATGAGCTGATTGTTTGCTTCCCTTTTACGCCTTTTGCCCAGATCTGTTTGGGGGGCCGCTTTGTGCGCTGAGGCCCGTGTGTTTGAGGTTTTATTAGGAGGTTAGGGGGGGGGGGGAAGAAGTTATAATTATCCTTCTCTTGTATTATGTGTTGCCTTTGGGGTTGCCCTATGGGCGTTCGTTGAGGGCCTTAGGGAACCCCGTGGGGGTGGGGTGGTTTGTTTGTGTTTGGCTCTCCTGTGTTGTCTCCTGCACAACCACCTCCTGACCAACACAATACTTGCAGAGGTCCTCAGCTTCCTCCTCCATATCCCTTTCCGATGTTTCGTAGAATGGCCTTCGCAATTATGCGTCTCGGTACTTCCCCTACTCCGATTGGTCTCACTCCGGACACTTGTCAAGAGGAAATGAGACGCAAGCAACACAGAGCACTGATGCTCTCTGGGTTTACCAATGAGGAGCAAGACGACGACCACTGCAGCTAAAGCAGAGCATAAGTCATGAGACGCAGAGCAAAAGAGCAACACAATCTCCTCCAAGCAAAACGATCAAGACGGACGGACCAGCTGAACCCTGGGTGTGCATGCGCATTGCGAATGTATCCGCTTTTAGGTTTTCAAAGAGGATGATTGAGGATGTTGGTTCTCTGAGGAGCTAGTGAGAAGAGATGATGATCGGAGGTTTTCCGGTTGGGTGTTTGTCTTGGAGAACATCTCGGGTGGATCGCAGAACCGGTTCTGAGCCTGAAGAGGCAGATGTATCAAGATGGTATCATGTCTCAAGATTTAGAAACCTCCAGTTGAATTTCGGGACAGATAACGTAGTGCACTCTTTACTTTTCCCCTGCTCCATCATTTTACCAAAGTTACTGCAATGGCGTTGTCATCAGACGGTCTTGGACGATTTATGTAGATAACGTTGAATGCACCTACCCTCTGAATGAGTAAAGGTATATCGCCTTGTTTCCATAACTCCAACCGTCTCTTCAGGTGAGAATGTGGTCTTGCTCTTGCTTTTTTTGCTTGGTTTTTGTAGGAGTAGGATTTGCATCACAAGCTTGCCTTAAGAGCAATAGACTCCAGTTGTGAGCCATTCGCAAAAGCTTGTACAAACGAGTGATTTCTGGATGAATGATTTTCCAGCCGCACCAGATGGAGAAGGAAGAGATTACGCTTCCAAGATGATATCATTGTAAGCTGTGTCTATCATCTTGCAAAAGGTCTGTCCATCAAGCTGTCCCCATTGAAATCTGGTTGTGAACACGTTGGTAGTGGCCATGATCGGTGTAATTGCCACTATCACAGCAGGTGTGATGCGATGAGGTAGGTCAATGGTAGGTGTTTGGTTGTCACGGAAAGGCAACACAGGTTCCATGTTTGAAATTTGGTTGTCAAGGAGAAGCGCATTTTCAATGTTTTCGACGTATATCTCTTGTCCAGTAGTCAGAGTTAATGTCTGTTGGCTATTCGATCTCTCTAGCTGGTCGCTCACGACATCGGTCTCGCCCGCACTGTCAACAAGGTTTCGTCAGTACGTGCCGCTTTTCATAATTCTCTCGCATCTTCCAATATGACTCGGCGTACAGTTATACAGACTGTTCCACTGCGAGCACACACACAGCCCTTACAGCGCCCTTTCCCATTACAGCGGCAGCACTGTTGAAGCTCTGCGTTTATGGTCAGTACGTTCAGTCGGCCATTTTTTTACCGGCCAGTAATTGTGATGCGCATTTGCCATTATCACCAAGTTCTCTCGATCTTTGCTAGGGCGGTAACATCATTCCGTTAGTATAATTATACTTTGTCTCGCAGGGCAACACGTTCCGGGGGGGTAAGGGAACCTCTGGCCGGCCCGAGCTAGACGAGCCTTACTACTACTGCGCATGCGTTCGATTAGCGAATTTCACGCATGCGCAAAATTATTAACGGTGCATCAATTCTGATACCTGAATAACTAAGGTCTACCATGAAGAAAAGAGTTGATCTGAGCAACCTCGGCCAAGTCCTCTCTAACGTCAGAGTCTTTCGCCATGGCTTTGGCCACGTAGAGGAAGCGGTTGGGTGTCTTGGAGGCGAGTGAGCTGGAGATGGCGGCAAGCCCGACCACGCCCTTGGTGGACTGCTGCACCATGTGGTCCTTTGCCTCGGCAGCGGTCATGTCAGGGTGGAGGGAGAGGAGGACAGCCATGTAGCCCGCCACATGCGGTGCAGCCATGGAAGTCCCCGACAGGGTCTTTGTGCACGTGTTGCAGCTTCCAAAGGCGCTCTCAATGCCATCCCCAGGAGCCGAGATGTCTGTACACTCTCCGGCGTTTGAGAAGGACATGGTGTTGTCTTCTTTGTCGGTTGCGCCAACCGCGATGCCAACTTTTGCACTGGCAGGGCTGTAATTACAGGAGTCTCCCCCCTGATTACCCGAGGCTCCCACGGCGACGATCCCCTTGTCCATTGCTCGTTTGACGGCCGCGTTAAGCGACTCGGAAACCCTAACTCCGAGTGACATCGAGAAAATGACTGTTCCCGTGTGATCTCCTTTGTCCACCTTACCTGCTATAAAGTCCATCCCCTGTACAATCCCACTCACTGCACCACTTCCCGAACACCCCAGGGCTCTCACGCTGTAGATCTTCGCCTTTTTGGCCACTCCGAAAGTCTTGCCGGCGCCGTTGCAGCGCAGTGGGTACCATGACCGTGACAGTCTTCGCCTTTCAAATCTGACCCGTCAACTCGTCGATGGCATCGAAACCAGAGAAGCTAGCTCGGCCTTCGAATTCGTTGTGCGTGTAGCGTATCCCAGTGTCAATGATGTATATACTGGCCTTTTCTCCGGTCCCCTCTGGCTCATACTTTCCGTCCATCTTTCGAGCGTGAGAGTCGAGCCTGTCGAGATTCCAAGGAATGCTGCTTTTCTGCTCCTCTGCAAGATTTCCTTTGTCTTCAGCGTATCTCTTGCCACCAAACGTAGGTGTAGGAGACCTCCTTAATGCCACATCTTCCTCCATAACTTCCAGGAAGGGATGCTTCTTCATCTGTAGTGAAATGAACAACAGAAAGCTGATACAGGCACCGTAGTAACTCAGCTATGTAACTGTATTGACACTAATAACCCTGCCTAACTGCAGTCAGGCTACTGATCTAGCATCCAATTATGGCTCGTTAGGAGTATATACGTTGTGAACATACTCCCTTCTCAGGGAGACCACAGGTATATAAACAAGTTGTATATAGGGCATCAGTGTAGGGCATCAGTGTAGCGCCCTGTGACATACTATGTTCATGTGAGAGGAAATGAAAACAGGCACAGGGCTCTATGGACAGGATGGGATATGTACAGCCATAATACTTACCAGCTTCACCTTCACCTTCATGCACGATCTTGCTACAGGCGTGTGAGTATACTTTACCAAACGTCTTAGTTATTGCACTACATTGCAAACTGAATCTCCCACATGCACCTGTGTACTATCAAAGTGCAGACACCGTTTAAAAAAACCATGCTCACCAGCTCCACTGCCTTGCTGTTCATGGTGGCCATAAAACCAACTCCGAGATTTCTGATGGGTGTAATATGCTCTGCCCTGATTCTACCCTCGCTCTCTACGTGCGCCCTCTGTAGAACAGCCACTGTTTTGTCCAGGGTCTCCACATTAGCAGTAGAGTCCAGCATCACTATGTAGCGCCCGGGGATGGGTTTCTGGATGTCTCTGTCGCCCACATGTCCTCCATCTCCCTCCTGAACGGTGGCGTCACCTTGGCCGAGGTTGTCGAAGAAATAGTGCATCAACCGGGCGAGCTCCTGCGTACGCTCCCGCTCTTCGTCCTCCCACTCTTGTTCGTCCAACACGTAGCGGTAGTACTCTTGGACGTTCACGATGTGTTGCGTGTCGTCCTCGTAGGTCGGGTCGTACCAGTCCGCCGATCGCCGCACGATCCCCTCCCAATGATTGTGGTCGGTTGCTCTCTCGCCACCCTCCGTCAGCTCTTCCCACAGGTCGTCCGCGGCTCTCTTCTGGTGCTCAGTTGCCGACGGAGCCGCCTCCGCCCGTCCTCCTCCTCCCAGGGACACGAGGACACAGACGAAGAAGAGAAGAGCGGTCCACGATGCTGTGTGTACTAACCCCCCTCCGGGTGGTTTTCTTCGAGGTAGATCCATAATCCCGTCTCTGGGGATTTTCTCCTTGCCTGCTAAACGATCTCCCTGTACGTGCTAGTAGATCCTCCAGTCACCCCCTCTTTCTCAAAAACAGTCAGGCAATATACAGCAACAAAACTCAGACCTCGTGAAGTTGGACGCAAAAGTGAAGAACCGAATCCGCGGAAAACCGGAAGCGCATCACGACCAGTTATGCGGAAGTCTTACTGGTAACTAGCAAACCAGCAGATGATGAGAGATTGCATTATACACAGAAGGGAGAGTGATAGAGAAACAACGCGACACAATGGAAAAAAGTGTGCATAAATAATTACACAGATTAGCACAAATCATCAATAATTTATCACTAGACTTACATACACGGTATAATATATACAGAGATGTTTGAATGTATGCCTAAGGGGACCATTAAAAGTGGACAGCTTCATTTCTTTCCTCCAGACTTTGAGAAAAGTTCCTTTCCTTTTGCAAAGATTCCCTTTTTATGTCTGGAGCTGTCGACTGAGGTGGAAAGAGATCCTGACCGCTTCAGAGAGTCCGAGGCCTGAGGAGATTCGGGGAGGGGAAGAAGGAGAGATAATAGAGGAGAGAGAGAAAGACTGCAAATACAGCAGGGCTGAGAACGGTTAACCTTTTGGGGGTTGCGCCTTTATGCGGTGCTGATAAGCGCCTCGGCTATATTCCGGGTATACTATCTTCTAGCAGTGCTACACGGTAGTAGACTTGTTGGTTGCGCTTCATTCTTTTTGCTTATATGACACTCAGGACATGTACTTTTCTACACTTGCAAATAGGTGTTTGCGACTTCATTGGGCATTAATTTGTCCCCAAAGAGCAAAACAGTATTGATTTTCCATGGAGCCAGAGAACAAGTATGTAATTGACCACTCAAACTCCACCTCAGAGCTAATAGTAAGGCAGAGCTTACTTCTGCGATGATTCTCTTGGCTTGCTCCATGTCCTGCTCGTTGGCGGCAAAGATCTCCATCCCCAGACCTCCCGTGCTCTTCCTCTTACTCTTCCTCCTCTCCCTCTCTCCTGTCGTCTCTTCTTCTTCCTTGAACTCCTCCAGGAAATTGGAAGGCACCAGCCCTTTCTTCCCCTTCAGTTCCCCCTGTGTATATACACACATACACAGTATGGAGAAAGTTACACTGCATAGTTACACGGCATACATACACAATACTGAACAAAGAAGCTAGTTTCTTCAATGGAGAGGATTCCAATCAGTGTCTATTAGCACCGTGCAGCCACGAGTGTACACAGTGAATAGGAAAGTAATAATAGATACCTTAGTTTGTATGTTAGACTGTTGTTAAAGCTACAATCAGGAGTATTCAAAAATGTGTCGGACACACAGCACAAAATGCTCAGTTTCATTTAAGGATACATAATGCAACATGTAAAAGCTGTCTGGCATATTGACAGACATACGTTACTAGCCAAATACTGCACTCTGATGGTAGGTATTTCAACACAACCAAGAAATCACTCAATAGTCACCAGACCTTTTCCTAACCTGACAGCAAGGTCTGGGTATATACAAGTCTATATACTATATACAAGTCTATATACTATATACAGTGGAACCCCTCTAATTCAGACACCAGTGGAACTGAAGAAAGTGTCCGTATTAGTGAGGTAGTGTCCTTAAATTTCTTGCAAGAAATGTTATTGGGGAAGGAAAATGTCTCCTTATTAGAGAGGTGTCCTCATAGAGGGGTTCCACTGTACCTGATAATATCCGTCTTCGTCCGGCCGACCAAACACCGTTACTACGTCTCCCTCCTCGATACACAGCTCCTCGTCCTTGTTCTCGTTAGGGGAGTCGGTGACAGGGTTATACCCAAACAGAACTCTCATTCTCCGTGTGGAGTTGACGGGCAGCGGGTCTCCTCCGTTCTCAGTCGGGGGACAAGAGAGGGGGTCTGGGGACAGTAAGTGGTGGGGAGGGGAGCAGTAAGCTGGGTTCTTAGTACAAGTAAAGTGAAGAGGTAGTATATACATAGGTAAGAATGCTTGACCGAGAGTTTTTCTACTAGTGCATGGATGTGTGTGTTTATGCAACATTGGTTGATACATAGCTACATGAGTTGTACTCATGATGTGGTGCAGAACTGCCCACGCAAACCAAAGATATCCACCTATTAACTCTGGCATTTTCTAGGGAGAGCCCTGGTAAAGCACTCTCAATTACTCTTGGCAAAAACATTCCACCAGACAAGTTGTATATGTAGTTCGCGCTCTCAGTGGCGGACATATTCTTCTTTATTCGTTTTCCCTCTACAATCACTCCTCACTCACCAGGGCTGCGGGACTTCTGCTCGGCAATCAACGGCTCAATGTTGGCCAGTTGCTCAGAGTCGGTGACCTGGTCCACCATGTTGGACGGCACCAGACCTCTCTTCCCTCTCAAGACACCTTCGAAGAAACCTTCCTCGTCCACCTCTGTGCAGGCCTGAGAGAGAGAGAGAGAGAGAGAGAGAGAGAGAGACCACTAGTATGAATAGTTTTCTGATGAGGCTGCATGCTAATCAAATTGGCGTGTAAACACATAATTTCCCCATGATGATAATGTGACATACGGGCATTTCAAGACGGAGTATATACTCACTGTGATAATGTCCCCTTCCCTAAATGCAAGCTCATCATCAACATTCTCATCATTGGGGGAGTGGAAGGCAGGGTTGTAGGAGAAATTGGCGACGTAATAACGAGGTCCTCCCTTAATCTTCTCCCTCGTTCCGTCGATCTCGTCCCTATGTTCACTGTCTCCGTTCTGGCAGTTCATTGAGCCGTTCAGTTGAGGCCCGTTTTTAGTCACATGACTGGTCACATGACCACTGGCACGGATCATGTGATCTTCTTCGTCTCTCCTAGACTGTGAATAATCCCCTCTTCGTTCACCACCACTTCCAACCAGTCCACCACTTGACGACAATTCACTCCTATTAGAGCCCACCACCTCCTCAAACAGTTCCCGTGACAACACGACGGGGGTGGAGTCTAGACTTTGGTACTGGTCTGAGACGGAGCGCACGGTCAGCAGTAATCTCTCCTCAGGAAGAAGGGAGAGTCCGGCCAGATGAGACGCATGCAGCTTGGCACACGGTACTTCGCTCGGCGTTCTACTGCTGCAGACTAGTTGAGTGACTGTCGATCCATTCACAAGGACGGCGTAGCCAGAGATATGGGCGCCGGTCTCCAGGACGCGGCCCGGGGCCCACTCGACGAGGATTGCAGCCGACGAGGGGAGCCCCTCCTCATTTCCCCCCTCTTCTTCCTCCATTAGTGATACCTGGACTCTCGTGGGAGGCTCAGGATACTCTGTGCAGGATATTGACAGAAAGAGAGAGAGATAGAGAGACAGTTCACTGACAACGTATGTACATACGTAGGTACATACGAAAAGTGAACAACTGTATCACTGTATAATAATACATACCTCACAACAAGATTGAGTTTACACACAAAGTAAAGTGTAGCACGCTGCTCCCAAAAGTAAGGCAAGGCTCTCAGACGAGGTTGCAAAGGGCAGCAACACGATGCATGCAGCATTTCATGTGCCACGTCGCGACGATACGTGATGCGCCACTTCGACCTAGGTTTACTCTGAGACAGACTGGTTCTGTTCACTCACGAGGATTGAGGATGATGATTTTGTTAGGGTCAGGGCTCTCTCCCTCATCCGTGAAAGTTCTCACTGAGATCTTGACCAACTGGTGACGAGGAATGTCGCTCAGCTGCGTCGCCATGGCACCCGAAACTCCGCCCACTGCCTGTTTGAACTCGTGGTTCACGTAGACGTGGTACGTGACTTGGTGGAGTAGCTCGGAGGAGGATGAGGAGGAGGGGGGAGAGGGGGAAGACTGGACGAGAGACGGAGGGCTCGACCACTGGATGACAACACTGCAATATTATATCAGAGAGAGAAGATAAAATAAATATGTCATTGGCTAGTGGGAAGTGTAAAAAAAGTTCGAGAAATATTGGAATGAGGGACTCATTTTCGGAGGTGGACAAACGACTTTCGAAATCGGGAAGTGCAAGCTTGATCAGTTTGTAACTGGAAAAAATTGTTAGAGTTGCAAAAATGCACCACGTGAAATTTCAATGCTGCTATATACTAGTAGTAACAATACAGACGGCTCACCAGTACTTGTCATCTTCCACGTACTGCGACTTGAGCTCCAGATCAACGGGGGGAGGGACCCTGGCATCAGAGGTCGTACTGACGATACTACTGGAAGAAACATTCTCGTCGCACTCGGGGATGTCCTGCAGGTCGGACACTCGGCGGATACGAGATCGAGTCGGACGTGGCACCGACGGATCGCCCTCCGCGTCCTCGACCTTCTCCACGAAGTTGGAGGGGACCAGGCCCGTCTCCCCCGACTGGAGCTGGGCCATGTAGAAACCATCGCCGTCCATGTCACCAAATATGAACAGGTAGTCACCCAACGTTATGGCCAGCTCCTGTGTGCGTGCGTGCGTGTGTGTGTGTGTGAGTGTGTGTGTGTACAAGTATAAAAGGCTGAAGTTAAGTATCAGGAGTTGAAGTGAGAATGAACCTGTTGGTAGTTTGGGTTGGGAGACATTTGGGCGGGATTGTAGCTGTACTTGGCGATAAAGACTGAGACTGGGGAGGAGTGAGGACCAGCAGCTGTCGTAGCTGATCCAGCGGCAGGTGATGAGTCGAGTGAAATGGTTCCGGCGGTGTCTGGTTGAGCTGGCTCTATTTGATCATCTGAGGAAGATGGGTGGACAGATATGTACACATATGGGGGAAAGAGAGAACAGATGAAGAAAGGCACTCAACTTTTTGCCCCCTAATAATATGTATGGCAGAAATGGTACACACATACATACAACGATAAGTGAATCTACCTACTTAAGCTGCAGTGCCTTTCTCCCCTAGCTGCGTGAGGTACAACTCATTAGTGGTGCCATGAAGGAAAAATGTCCACAGGTCAACTAGCCCAACACATCAGCAAGAATCGTGTTTGTCTAATGTAAACTGTAGTAACTGCACTCTAAGTTCCTAGGTATTCGTTGAGGGGAAAGTGGAATGACAATTACCAGGGAGATCTTAGCACCTGCAAACCACGTCATGGTAAACTTCCAGTATAGTGAATAGGCACTTATACTGTAGTTGTAGTTCACTTCTTATTGACAATATATTCAGGCTTTTCCAAGAACTACACAACCGACTGCTACCAAGAAAGGTCGTGTTTATTCACATAAGTTCCCTACATGAATCCTACGATAATTTCAATCAGACCTGTTCCGCTGTGGGTGATGGTGAGGTCAGTATCTGAGCTCCCTGATGACGAAACCAGCTCCTCCGGTTTTGCCAGAGCTTCTAACTCAGTCATCTGCAGCCCTCCCCCCTCCTCACTCCCCATGGCCAGATCACCTGATCTTCTTATGAGGTCACGTGACCCAGACCCCGCCTCCTCGCCTCCCACTGTTCTCCCTCTCTCCCCGTGAGCCTCACTCCCGGCGTCACTCGCCGGCAGCCTCTCTCCCTCGACCCAGGCCAGCTGCGGAGACCCTGTTGTTCCTCTCACCCCCTCCCCTCCTCCCCCCGCTCCCTCTCTTCTCCCTCCTCCCCCCTCCTCGTCCAGCGACATTAGGACGCTGCTCCCGTCCAGATTGGTGTCGCTGAACCACACCCCCTCACTACTGTCATACGAATCTGTTAGTTCAACTCCAACAAGACGCATCTCGTTGTCCAATGATATGTCCACCTCTCCACTTCCGCTAGCTCCAGCCCTCTTCACCGGACTCTTAACCCTTCGCGACCTCCCGGCCGATTTAACCCTCCGCTCACTGGTTATGTTGTTAACTCCTTTGCAACCGGTGGCGCCCGAGGGGGGTGCGACGTTGGTGTCCGAGACGGGAGGAGGAGCAGAAGTGGGGTTTGAAGAGAGGACAGGTTTTTCTGGGGACGACAGAGAGAGACTGTTTGGAGAGAGACGTCGCAGGCTGACGGAGGAGGAGGAGGAGGAGGAGGATGAGACGAGGAAGACGGTTGTCGGTCCAGCTCGGAGGCCAGCTGCTTTATCTGGTCTTGTTTCGCTCTCAGGGACACCTCTAGTTCCTCTGTCTTACCCTGTGCAGTGAGAAATGAATTTCAAATCCATACAACCATCATGAACATTACGCTGAACCTTTGGCAAAATACAATACGTGGTCTGCAACTCAATACGTCAATGTTGGACGAATGCTCTATTTCACATCTTGCATGGACCCATACATACAAAAGTGGGCGTAATCAACAGGCACACTGAGGTGTACCGTACATCAGAATATGAGAATTAGTCTCACACGACAAGTTTGTTGCAACCCTAACACCCATACAAGCACAAACCATGAGTGGACGCACAGTATACGCATATACATACACATCAACTAAAAGGTAGAAAGGAACAGGCACAGCAAACGGAGACACCCAGGACAGCTCTTTTTCCTTTTTTTCCACGAACATGTGGTGTTGGAACAATACGGGCTAAAGGGTGCATGCATGATAACATACCCTGAGAGAGTCTGCCTCCTGTCTGGCATCGTTCAGAGACTCTGTGGCATTCTGGTAGCTCTGTGGACATACACATGTATGGCATGTACGTAACTGATACACTTCAGAAAAGTTCCTAATTTGGACGCAAGCTCTTGCGTGGGTTGCGTGCATACAGTGTACATATTTTGTCTAGAATGCGAAAGCTCGAAAAAGGATTTTCACTGCATGCTTCTGCCATCTTGAATCAAAGCTGCAATCTGAACATTGTGTTTTTATGGTAGGCCGAAGGGAATGTCCAAAAAAAACAGCTGGTTTATGGGTGTTGTATGTGTGTATGTACCTTTTCCAGCTGTAATATCCTGGAGTCCCGCTCACCGAGTTGACCTTTCAACTCTGCCACCTCCCTCTCCAGTTCGACACACATCTCCTGAACTGCATCCATCTCTTTAGCCAACTGCAGAGGTGGAGGAGGAGAGGAGGGGAGGAGAGGAGAGGGAGGAGAGAGAGAGGAGGGGAGGAGAGGAGAGGGAGGAGAGAGAAGAGAGAGAGAGAGAGAGAGAGAGAGAGCAGGAGGTGGAGGAGGAGAGGAGGGGAGGAGAGAGAGAGGAGGAGAGGGAGGAGGAGAGGGAGGAGGAGAGAGAAGAGAGAGAGGGGAGAGAGAGAGGGGAGAGGTACAACAGAAAACAAGGAAGGAGTGGTAGATGGAATAAACAGCTTGAGTATATACCAGTTCAAAGGGAGAGTTTATCAACGTAAAATGTCCCCAACAAGATATCAGACTGTTTGTATTTAGTATCTGCCTATAATAGTCCAGAAGAAACACTTAGGGCTTTCCAATCACGAAATTGAAAATTATCGCTCTTAGAAAAGTTCCCCAGGTAAACACCACATGGCTAGGCGTGCATTTTGTATAATTATACCTCTTGTGTCTGCTTTAGCTGTTGTGTCAGTCGTCTGTTCTGCTGTTCAAATGATGTTCTTGCAACTTCAGTTTCCTTCAGAGCACTTTGCAGCCTTTCAGCCTCCGTCTCACACTATAAAGAGGGCCGCACAGAGAGATAGGGAGAGAAAGAGGGAGAGGGTAGAGGGAGAGGGGAAAGAGGAAAAGAGGAGAGAGCCTTGTGACAAATTCTACTATAGCTACATACGTACGTATGTACAGCTCTAAAAGGCCAGTGAATGAGGCGTGCTTCTCCATTTCTGAAATGCTCAACCTCAATAGCAGCTAGTCATCTGCTAACTCGTGAGGTCCCCACTACATAATAGAGCTGCATGTATGCACGTGCTGTTCCGCCAGTTCAGTTGATACAAAGATACATAGGCTTGCACTATCGTCAATCGTGAAAGAGGCACAAAGCCATTCAACTGAGAAAGCAGGGCTTTTAGCAGTCAGCAGGACTACAAATAGACACGTGCATTATAACACGTGCTTGTGGGTTCATTGTGCATAGACGTGTATTGTGTGTGTGTGTGTTTTGCCTCTGACCTGCTCAAGAGCTGCCAGTCGGACTTTCAGTTCCGAGTTTTCCTCCGCGAGCTGCTTCTCTCTCTCACTCCCTCCTCCTCTACTGCCCACAGCAGGGACGGAGCGCTGTTTGATAATTGGGACATGGTCTACGTCTTCCATTCTGTTCATAAACACAAGAAAGGGGCGTAACAATGTACACTATGATGTAAGATATCTACACTTTACATATACAGTCTTAAAATGTGTTAGAAAAGCAAACGTTTCAAACCTCAAAGTTAAGAGTGTCCTTTATTGCGAGGTTTTTTTTCTATTGCATCATATATTTGAAGTGTCCTTTGTCAGTTGTTTTACTGAACATTAACTCTAAGTGCTTTGTATGTATATGTACGTGCAGTATTATGTACAGAGCTCCAGCCCAGGCTCTTCAGTCAGCTCTTCCGCTCAACGTATGGTACACACTCCTTTAGAACTCACCTGTCTCATTACTTGTGTACGCATTATGCAGGCATCTTTCTCAGCAACTCTTACATATACATAGTCATTATGGTTGCTAATGGGAGTGTACTGTATGTATTGGACACCTGGTCTGAGATTTGAGTAGCTCCAACTCTTCACGGAGGCTCTTGTTCTCGTCAAAGACCCTCTCCATTTCCCGAGACTCGTCGGCCATTTCTTGCCGGGTGACAGCGCCCACGTCCAGTGGGTTGCTCACCTTGCTATACAGCTGTACCATCACCTGTTGAGGTGGGAGGAGGGGGAGGGAGAGGGGGAGAGAGAGGGGGGAGGGAGGAGGGAGGGGAAGAAAACAGTTACATGGTTATGAGGGTAGAATTCATGGCAGAGACACAGGTGCTTCAAAGCTGGTTACGAAGGGTGAAAACTCTCATAATTAATTCACCCACGATGGCACACATTTTCGGCAAAATATTCGCAGAGGGCTCACAAACTTCTAGCATCAGCTACAAATACACAACTGTACTGTTACTCCAGACCATGGTAACATATACATACACACCTTCTCCACGCGAAGTCTCTCCATTGCCATAGATCTGACCCTCTTCTCCATCTCCGGCACCGGTTCATAGCGAGCCTTCCCATTCACCTCGTACTAAACACATCGGTACACATGTAACAATAGACCATGTGATGCCAAGAGAAAAAAGATATGTACACACAGCACACATACGTATGTATGTAGCACATTATGTACACAGAAGAGCTATTTTACGACTTTTGTATATTATATGAACACATGACCAATTGACCATACACAGATCCAGGCATACTACTCTGCCCTCCCAGGTTTCAACAGTACACTGAAAAACTCATAACGCTACACCTTCCCTTGTACAATGTACTGTACTGTATGTTGCAGACAATATTAATGTACGTATGCATGGATAATGCACTATTGTCTCGTTGCAAGAGTAAAGGCTCACTTTATACAACACAATACAGTAAACCATGTACCCAGAAGAGGTACGTATGTACATATGTAGGTGGTTGACACCCCTCACTCAAGGCTTACTCACTTTACACAGTCTGACTCTCAGAGACTCCAACTCTCTGTCTTTGACCAGTAGCTGTCTGGTGTAGTCACTGATGTCCTTGGCATGCTGTCTCGATAGACTCATCCTCCTCCCCTCCATCTCCCCTCCTTTCCCCTTCTCCCCTCCTCCCCCTCCTCCCACTGAGCTGGCCACACCTCCTGACACCTTCTGCCATTGTTCATTATGAAGGAAACATTCCCAATAGACCACAATGTAAAAATTGACAGGAGTCCAAAAAACTGCATGCATGTAACTACTGGGGTGAACAGGTCATAAGTATATATACACAATAGAACATTGACATACAGTGTGTACAAAATGTCGTCCGCCACTACACGTTTGAGGTGTGTGTGTGTGGTAAGCAAGCCCTGGACTAGAGACAGTGGGGCTACTACCTCATGTGGCGGGTCAGCAGAGGAGGAAGAGGTGGCTTCCTCTCCTCCGTCCTCCTTCAACACAGACAGCTGCTTCACTCCCGCCATAATACAGACCCCTGGTTCTATTTAGAGCACACCAGCCGACTCCACTAATGCTCTACTAGCAGTGACCCAAAACGGCTCACACTCTTCACTTCACAGCTATTGCTGCTGACCAGCTGTTTACTGAAAGTACTGAGAAACGTAATTCTGTAGGTCACAAAACTGCTCCACTAGTTTTGTAAGACTCTTGATCATTAGCAACTCGAGCCCCACACTGCACACACACAACAGCAGCTTCAGCTACTAGCTATGCAACTATAGCCACAAGACATGGATACTGGCAACCCTAACCGACTGCTGCTATTGGTACACAACACAACACAGCTGCTACCAGCACGGTTAGAACTGAGCCTTTCTAGCTAGAGTGACTGACTGACACTACAATACATGACACAAGTCTAAATACAGCACAACACCATTCCAAATAGAGCCTTGTTCAATACTTGTTCTAGTGTATGGGAGAGTTGTAGTGTAGTTTGTATTGATTCAGATTGAAGCACACACACACACACAGTGAGTAAGCTACTAGGTCAGGTAGAGGCACAATGGCCGGCCATGGAACCACTATTCATTGCACATTATGACCCGTATTCAGTGCTACATTGTGTCTAAATGGAGAGCAGAGTATTTGCTCGCCCGTTGTACCATACACCTTAAAGAAAATCAATCCGTATACGTACGTACTTGGGAATGAGTAGAACCTATTTACTGCAAGCTGTGAAGCACTCCATTATTATTGGTAAAGGTTTAGGCCCACCCTATTTTCTTATTTTCACTGCACCCTTCAGCTATAGCACAGGTGTCAAGGACATTGCATTTGCCTGTCCACCACCCCACATTCTTGTTAAAAGTACGAAAAAATATTCGGGCCCCCTATTTACTGCCTGTGTATGAATGGATAATGTGTGCGTGTGTGTGTGTATTGTGTGTATTATAACCTACCAGCTGCTCATTCTCCAGCTTGAGGGTCTTTATCTTGTCGTCCAGCTGCCTGGCCAGGGCCACTAGCTCTGCATTTCTCTTCCTCAACCTCTTCAGTTTCTCTTCCGCCGCCTTGGCATCTCCCTCTCCTCCTCCTCCTCCTCCTCCCTCCTTCACTGCTGCTTTCCTCTACAACACACACCACACACACAGAGAAAGGAAAATTGTTCAACAGAGTAACTTGTACTACTATTTAGCATACTGTACTGATGTGTAGTAGAAAGGGGGAAAGCAGATTATGGGTAGACTTGTATTACATTGTGCATCCATCCACAAGTGTGTAGAGGGTGGAGACTGTACAATTAGTGTACACTCATGATGTACATACATATATAGTTCAAAGGAGTGATCTATAGTTCACAATGGACGGAACGTAGAATTAGTGACAAGTCCCTAAACCTCCTCCCCACCCACACACACTCACACTGTACATACGTCAAACACACTTTCATAAGAAGCCCATACTTGGTGGCTAAGTACGTACGTAAGTGTTTGAATTTTGGCACCAACACACAGTATTGGGCTCACAACTCTTTGCTTGCTAACGTGCCACAGAAATGCACTTTGCTGCCGCACTTTTCGTTCTGTGTTCAGAAAATGAGACACATGCCAAGTCATACTCAATATAGACAGTGGGTGAAAGTATTGAGGAATTAACCTCAACATGTTTTTGACCCCCAGAGTATGTATGTAAGCCTTGAATAATAGAAGCCATTAGTAACTGTGGACCAGGTCCTCCTCACCAAAGAGGCGTTTTCCTGTTTCAGCTGTCGACGTTCCTCGTCCAATTTCCTGGCCACTGCCTCCAGTTCCTCCACTCTTCTCTGCAGGACTCCTCCTCCTCCTCCTCCTGCTACACTGAGGCGCTGGGGGACGAGAGAGAAAGAGAGGAGCAGAGAATAAATATATCAAAACCAATCTCTCGCCATACCAATGATCTTCAAACTACAAAATATTTCCTGAGAACATGTGCTTGGAAGACAAAGTTCCCAGTATAATACTGAATATACTTTTCAGTCATCTCTCTGAAAAGACCATATTGCATGCATGCTCCTACCTACCATGTACAGTGTATACTGCATTCAATCACCACCTACCACAAATGTACGTTACAGTAGTATGTGTAGATGATTTATGTACACACAGACCTTCCCTGAGGTGGGTGACTGGACGGCCTCATCTCTACCGAGGGATTCGAGTGTCTTCTTGCTCTTGACTCCAGCCAGCTCCTCTACCAGGGCCTCCTTCTCCATGAGAGCCATGTCGACTCTGTACTCCTCCTCCTGAATATGTCTCTCCTTCTCCTGGATGATCTGCTCGGCCAGCTTCAGTTGGGCAAGGTCTCTGGCTGCCTCGGCCTGGGAGGGAGGGAGAGGAGAAGAGGATGTACAATACAGCAGGAGAAATGGAAGAAAGGGAGGGAGAGAGGGGAGAAGGCGAGGGAAGGCAAAGAAGGGAGAGATAGGAGGGTGGAGCAAGGGGGAGGAAAGGGGAGAGGAAGTCAAGGAAAAGAAGAGGGAGAGTTCAATTATGCCAACTACACATGGTACACATGTACACAAAGGCTCCTCCACCTAACCACATCCTCCCCACCCTCCCTCCTCCCACACCCAGTCACCTGGTTCTTCTTCTTGACCGTCTCCAGCTCCAACTTGTGTTCGTGGTTCGTCTTCTTGATCAGGTTTATCTGCTCCCTGTTCTCCCTCTGAAGGTTACTCACCTGTACAAACACACACACACACACACTTTCATCAAACTGCTCCCAAAACACACTTGTGTGTATATACTGCATGTACTAAGATATGTGTGTGCTTTCCTAATGCTTAACACACACACGCGCATGCGGAAAACGTTGTTTACTAAATCTCGTAGCTACATAAACTCAGACTGAGTTTACAAGTATTGCGCTCAGCTGTCGGGGAGAAACACGCCCGCAGTGTGCTGGCAGCCACCTCCTTGTCCACAACTGCTACGTACAGAACAGCCTTTGCCCTGTTCTGCTACAACCACAGCCTTGTGGCACTATTTCCCCATCCAACCTGACGGCACGTGTGGAAACAAGTGCATTTCAACTGGAATTCACACACAGGGGTAATTACAATGCAGCTCACCATTTAGAAGGGACCATTTACATACGTAGCCCTTTGCACTGTTAAAAAGAACACAAGATGCAAGGGCCTTCGACTTAAACCATGCATACTTCATTGTCATGTTCTCAAACTGGTTAAGGGCCTTCGACTTAAACCATGCATACTTCATTGTCATGTTCTCAAACTTGTTAAGGGCCTTCGACTTAAACCATGCATACTTCATTGTCATGTTCTCAAACTTGTTAAGGGCCTTCGACTTAAACCATGCATACTTCATTGTCATGTTCTCAAACTTGTTAAGGGCCTTCGACTTAAACCATGCATACTTCATTGTCATGTTCTCAAACTTGTTAAGGGCCTTCGACTTAAAACCATGCATACTTCATTGTCATGTTCTCAAACTTGTAAGGGCCTTCGACTTAAACCATGCATACTTCATTGTCATGTTCTCAAACTTGTTAAGGGCCTTCGACTTAAACCATGCATACTTCATTGTCATGTTCTCAAACTTGTTAAGGGCCTTTGATTTAAACCATGCATACTTCATTGTCATGTTCTCAAACTTGTTAAGGGCCTTCGACTTAAACCATGCATACTTCATTGTCATGTTCTCAAACTTGTTAAGGGCCTTCAACTTAAACCATGCATACTTCATTGTCATGTTCTCAAACTTGCTAAGGGCCCTCGACATTTAAAACCACGCATACATGTACTTCATTGACTTGTTCTTAAACACGTTACAAATGGGAGGGCCCTCGACTTTTACACTTCACTGACTAGTTCCCCAACTACATATTACGCTGTAAGTGTGTGCATACGGCTGGAAGCTGTGAACACACTAGCTGTTGCATCCAACCACCCACTGATGCATGCGTGTGCATACAGTACATACACACGAAACAGGCACAGCAGTTAAAACAGTGCAGTGGGTTGTTTCAACAGGTGTGTGTGCTCCAGTGTATGCAAACTCCCAGCCCACCGTGCTGTAGGGGGAGACAAGGCTGTGGTTGTAGCAGAACAGGGCAAAGGCTGTTCTGTACGTAGCAGTTGTGGACAAGGAGGTGGCTGCCAGCACACTGCGGGCGTGTTTCTCCCCGACAGCTGAGCGCAACGCTTGCAATGCCACACACATTCCTGACCCTCGTAGCTGAATCTACAACATGCAACAATTTGTAGCAATTTTGTACTACCTGTAATATGTAAACAGCTCACGAAGGGAACATATATAATATGTGAATAAGCACACTGGAACTACTGTATACTTAAATTGCCCCAACAACAAATATATTGCCAGAGTCCATTTATAGCCAGCAAGTGGTGCACTTTAGACTAAATACACCGGATTGCTTAGTAACAGTATAATTATAGACAATACCCTTCATCTTCTCCAAAAAGAAGAGGGTGCGTATGGACGGGACCAGAAGACAAAAGCAAACACACAGAACAATGTGGAGGTGGTACTGTAAATGCCAGCCAAATACTAATTGTGTACACAACCAAAATGTACACCTCAGGCAGACATACATGGATAACAATTGTACACGTATATATGTATATATAGGTAAGAATTTCTAAGAAGCTAACCCCTCAGTTGATACTGTAACGGCTTCTAGAACAGCACACACCACACATAGGATAACATACAGCACATTATACATAGATACTGTATGTGTGTGTATGTACCTGGAACTCCAGTCTCTCGGTCTCAACTCCGAGTCTGAAAATCTCGGCCTTCAGGTGTTCCTCGCGACTCATCACCGAGTCCTCGGGGAGATAGTGCGAGAGCTCCTCCTCTGTCTTCTTTCTCTCCAGGTCCAACACCTTCCGCATGCTCTCCTCCCTCTCCCTCGTCAGCCGCCGCTCGAGTCTCTTCATCTCTTCCTCCAGCTCCACGCGCTGACTCCGCAGCTCGTGCTGGTTCTGCTTCAGCAGGCGCTCCTTGACTTGTTCGACTTCCGCCAATCTCTCGTCGTCTTTCCTCCGTGACAGCGCCTCCAGTGATCTATCCAGCTTCTTCTCGGCATCTTCTCGGATCAACCGCACCTCCCTCTCGTGGCTCCACTGGAGCTCGTGGAATTTAGTTCTCTCTGATTCGATCTCGGCTCTGTGGCGGGCCACTTGTCGCTTGAGATCGTCGATGGTTTTGGCAGCTGTTGGATCAGGCGAGTCGACCGGGTGCGCACGACTCTCGCACAGGGTCTCCTTGAAGTGTTTCCCCGTCTGAGCAGCCATTCTGAGTCGCGCAGTCCGCGTGAGGTAGCGGTTGTGTAGCGAGGGGGGCGGGGTCGAGGAAGAGCGTTTCGGGTGGTCTGTGTCCTCAGACGATAGTGTTTTGGGTGCCGGAGAAGCTCGCGTGGAGGCTGATCTTCTACGATCAATTCCACTCCTAGTTCCGAGCTCTCTAGGCTGGCGAGGCTCGACACGGAGGAAATTATTCTTCTGGGTGGCCTGGCTGACAGGTGGACTGGCTTTTTGAGGGAATTTTAGTCGCAGATGAAGTTGAAGAGGTTTGGGCGACTTTCGAGGTGTTCCCGGCGAAGGTTTACCCTGTGTCGAGGAGGTGGACGGTTGTGGTGCTGCTAACCTGTCGCGTCTCGTCGGTTTTGGAGACTTTTGGACGGTGGTGGTCGATTTTTCACCGTCTCTACCGCCACGGGACTTTCTGGGCAATTCGACGACTACAGTATTTGCAGCTGGGAGATTCTTTCTGTTCTTCGAGGAGGGGTCCTTGGTGGTTTTGAGTGACACTTGACTTGTAGGCTTTGATTTGAGCGGGGTAAGTGATTTGGAGGATGCCTTTGTAGAGGGAGACGCCTTGACGCGAGGCTGAGAGGCTTTGGGCCCAGACGCCAGCTTGCTTCCTCCCACGCTTCTCACTCACTAACAGACGGTAGCTACGGCGTACACAGGCACTACGAAACTCTTGAGTCGGTCGCGTGTACCCTAGAGCGTTGTGAAAACTGCACACACGCGCCTCATACTAAAAAAAGGGACTAAGAAGGATTGTTTCACGCAAATCGGGCTATAGTTAGTGCGCATTCAACACTGGCATTCATTTGATGCAGAAAATGTTCACACCACAACTTACAGCGCCTTCCACTTTCAAACAAAACAGTTTTACAGTCGGCCAGAAGCGGTTGTAAGCCGTCGAGCGGAGGACTTTCACGACAGCTCCATTTCGAAAGGGGACAATTAGCCACGCCCATTGCCGCTTTGTAAACCACGCCCTCGTTTCTAATTGAACGAAATAATATTGAAAATCGAAAAGGTGGTTTTTTGGGCAGAGATGCTGGGTGGACGGCAGAGGGGAGGCTTCAGCTTCAAGAAAAGGAGAAAGCCACCTCAATGGGAGCCCACTGACACTGGTCCGAAACTAGACATGTTCACGAAGCTCCCGCCTGATATAATCCAGCACATCACCAACTATTTGCGCGTCAGCGACGTCCTCGAATGGAGGACGGTCTGCAAGGCCTGGAAGGAGATGCTGGCTAACCCAGCCTTGGCCGCCTTCTGGCGGCGCGCCACCGTGTACGCTGGGCTACCGGCCGAATGGGTGAAGAGGCTCCAGTCAGAGTTCAAGTGCGTTGACGGCGTTTTCCACCAGGCGCGCCTCTACACCGACCACATAGCCCGTGTACGCCCCGAGCGTGAGATCCTAAAGGGCCACTACCCGTTCGAATCCAGCTCTCGATGTGTGTATGCCGGGCAGGGCTACTTTGTGAAGACGTTGGACCGCCAGTGTCTGGAAGAAGAGGAGACTGTCATCGGAGAACTTTGTCCGCGCCGTCGCACCATTCTAAAGGTAGCGTCAGTGAAGGGGAGGTACGGGGACGCGACGTACGCCGCCGTGTTTGCGAACCACGTGGTGTGGCAGACGACGGAGGGTCGCTGGCTGCGCTACAATCTCGAGACCCACACTCACTCGCGGCTCTTTGAGAGAATAGTCCAAAAAGATAGCGGTGATGGGGTCGGATTCTGTCGACACTGCCTGTTCCTTGTCATAGGCAGCAGCGAAACGATCACGCATTCGTACCACTGGAGCCTCCGACTATTAAAAGTCGAAGGAGACACGCTAATAGACTATACTCACAAGGCTCCCATCCCTAACAAGTTAACTGCGTACATGCCACGACCTGTAAAGCCGATTGTTGTATCGTGGGACGGCTGCAAAACTCACCGTCTCGTTGTACAGGGAGGCACGGGTGCATGTGTGTTCAAGGTCACGCACGATGTTAAACAGAGGAAGATCGAAGTCTCCAAGTCCCTTGCAACCCTGAACCCCTTCTACGACCTGGACCATATAGCAGTGATGGTTGTGACTACCACCAGCCACATTCTCCTGTCGCCCGACGAGACTTTCATCGCTTTCCTGACAAGCCTCGTGTATCCGTACAACACGGGTCTCTGTCTCCACTTTTTCAACCTCAAGACATTCGCAAGGATGCTCTCGGTGAGAATAAAATGGCCGGAAGGGTTCAACGATTGCAAGCTGCTAGCCGTCAGTCCGCTCTACGCGGTGATCGCGGTAGGTCACTCGGACGGAGTTGCCAAGATCGTCCACTGTCGCTCGGGAAACATAATTTCGTCCATCACCCCGTTGTCCAAGTCGCGACCTCTCGCTTTTTCCATGGCAAAGCATACCCACGTGAACATGCACGGTGCCTACGGAGAGGAGTGTCTCTCCGACATACGGGGAAAGCTGAGCATTGCCGTCATGTACCGCAGGGGGAACGGAAACATGGAGGCCTTGTTTTACGCCCCCTTTTCCCCCAAGCCTTGCCCTCCTCGAAGAAAGCCACAGGGACTCCGACTCGGACTACGAATTATGATCGCTGATAATAGGCAAAAAATAGTTACTTAATCCCTTTCAATTTTCACTTGCTTGCTATGCATTTTTTTCTCCGTCTTTGTCCTGCTGCAAATTTACCGGCAACAATTTAAAAAATGTATTTTGATGTGTAACGGTAATTATGTTTGTCTCTGAGGTGTTGCTGTACGTGGCAAAGCTGAAATCCTCTCAGTGTGTGTGCACGCAACGACATGCCGGACCGCAAAATACTCAATTATAAAATGGGCGTGGGTTGCAGAATGATGATATAAACGAGTGGCTAAGTAGCGTGAAAAGTGAATCTCTTTGTCTCCCAGCGTGGTTGTGCGAGGTCCACTGGCATTGCTCTAGTCCTCTCTGTGTACCTGACTTCTCCACTGGCACTGACCATCACCACTGTGTGGGTCCTGGAGCAAGCAACAACAACTTGAAAGTCCCAACATTATATATACTGTTCTCAAATAGGTGGAAGAAAACATCCGCAGTTTTGTATGTAGATAAGTAAGTTTTCACAGAAAACACTTTCGTGGATTGAATATTCCTCGCCACACTAATAAACTTTCATGGACAGAGCTATTAACCTTTCAGAGACTCCGGGACACTGGCCAATGTTCATTTAATGCACTTACGTCGCACTCAAACAAATCAAAAGCAAACTCAACAGGTCAGAAGGTATATATAGTCATGTATAAAGTGGTCCAAGGCACTAATGTCCGTTTGAGCATCAGTTGATAGTCTAAAGGGAGAATCTAAGAGTTCTGACGTGACCTGGTTCCATAGAGTCCGGAGTCCACCAGAGAGGTTGGAGGGACAAAGACGGAGTTGAGATCTCTGAGGACAGGCTCGGGGAACCCCAGTGTCGGGACATTCTCATCAGGATGAAGACTGGAGGGAGTAAATAATGTATATATATACCACCAGGAGATCAAATAATAATTATTACTACATACATAACCCACTATAACGTGTGTGTATATACATAGGTCCTTGAATTGCAAAAATATCTGAAACCACAGTACTTTGATGCTTTATGGAAAGTGAAGTGTCATATATCCTTTGTATGTATATGTTCATACTCCGTGTTACACTAAAACAAACTTTCATCATGCCCATAAGCCCTTCTCCTTTTCCTTCTCCCCCCTTCTTTCGTTGTGAAATTTTATTCTACAACCCTGACCATGTCTGGTCACAGAGGAGGTCAAGAAGCTGCCTCTCACACTCGTCCTCATCCACAGCCCCAGTCTGGAGGTGAGAAACACACTCCGAGAACCTCGACTTCCCTCGAGTGACCTTCTTCCAGGGAGAATCCAGTCTCTCGTTGCTGAGTCCGTACACACCGGGGGACAGGCTGTGACTGGTTACTGGGTCACCGTTAGTACAGTAGGTTGCCTCCACCTCTGGTCTGAGGACGATACACAAATGACACCAACACAACGTCAAACTTTGAGAACATTTACTAAATTCACACGTTATCATTTTTCCCCCCATCCTTATAACCGAGGCTCCCAACAATAGAACCACCAAATAAAGACATTATAGTAGAGCATTCTTAAAGGTATACGATAAACTGAAGGATGGTTGAAATACGAGACAAGCCAGGAGGGAAAGAGAAGGCACCAACTTCAGTCAGGATTGAACTCGGGCATTGTGACTGGAAGCTACACATTCTCTACTAGACAAGGCTGGTCTTCCCCAGTAGATGGAAGAATGCACAACTGTGTCTAAGTGTCTACATGTCCCAGTACTTGATTCTGGCAGTGATGAGGTTGAAGCCGCTGTAGAGGTGGGCATTGGATAGAACTGACTGGCAGTAGTCCTGGGGGGTCTGGTTACAGTCACTTTTGAGAAACTCGGACACCAGAGTACCTGACAGAGAGTAAAATGTAAGGCATTTTGCTACAACTACTATTACAATTGGTAAGAAATGCTTGATTTGGTTGGATATGGTACATTCCTAAGCATCTTCCTATACTGTTGTAGCCATTCACACCCCTGCCTCCTCCCTTAGAGCTATTGTATTACTTAAAGGGAAACCAGCCCGACAATCATCCACCGATTCCAAGCCCTGGTTTCTACTTCTGTGAACTTCTTGGATTTGTCTCTCACTGCCCATGCAAAGGTGCAGAGGAGAAGAAAGCAAGGGGACAAGGGGTTGGGTTAGCAGGTAGAGAGGGTATTGAGGTAGCAAGCACTAAAGGACGATCGACGTATACACAGGCATGGCGGGAAGGAAAGAAACAACTGCTGTTGGGAGTGAAACTAACCAGAACTCTATTGTACTACAGACTGAGCTATGTGTTCTCAATTACCCATCTGCTATGTCGACTAAGAATGTTTCCAAGCAGAAAAGTCATAGTCTTGGTTGACTGAACTCTAATTGGGAGCGTGGCTGTGGGAGACTAGAGGGGGGGGAGGGTGGAACAGCAGTGAAGACACAAATGACTGTCACGGTCAATTCATTGATACACGCTCATAATGGTTAGAGCATCTGCCATAAAATAAAAAAACTGTATGGCCTACATACATGTGTGAGTAAGCATACAATAATGTATAAAGAGCTGTGAAGTTCCTTGTCTGGACGAATCATTTTGGTAGAGTTTCCAAACACACGTACACGCATTATTTGCGAGCCAAGTAAAATGGCGACTTCCAAGTATGTAAGCCTTTCAACTGTTTTTACCAGATAAAACCCTCAAATGGAATGGCTATGGTATAGAGCACAGATTCTTGGCAAGACCCATGGATTTGCTGTGTCTAGACATTCTCCCAGACTTGGCATGTGTAACGATAAATAACACTGCTCCTGGTAAAATGGCGCCGCCAATTTTAGTGACAAATTTGTGTCCCTGGTGAAAATTGGGCCATAGTACACTAAGGCACATGTATAGTCATCATACCTCTGCTTTTTGCTCCAGATCTCTTTGGCTGTTGGTAGGGTCCTCTGATATTGGTCAGAGTGGCTAACTTTCCGTCAGTACTGACTCCTATCCACGTCCCTCCCCCCTCAACGTCCCGACCTGAGACTCAGCCAGTGATCAGCTGGTCAGCCCCGCCCACAAAAGCTTACCGGCCAGTATGAACGGAGCGTCATCCCAGAAAGCTGCTTGCGTAGTCTCTCTGGCGAAAAACTCGTCCCGGTTGTTGGCTGCCACCAAAACGTATCGGGAAGAAGGCTGCAGAGCGAGGAAAAAGACACACATCTCTACGCACGCCGCACACGCGTAACGAAAACGAAACCGACACGTCAGCATTCCGTCTGCGCTTAGCTAACGCAACGTTGGTCCGGAGGAGTGGAGTATTATATGAAATACCCTATGACAAAGTGAGTGGAGTTAAAACAGACTGAGTGGAAAATAGGGCTAGCTGAGACAAGGCGTAAGTCTAGGGTGGATATCCAAGCTCCTTGAGCAAGTCACACTTTTTGTATATCTCCTTCTGAATGTCCACCGGCATCTTCTGTCGCCATTTCTCCACTGACTCCGTGTTGACCTCTCTACGTACTTGGCTGGAGGAGGGCTCCAACCTGAAGAACACACAAAACACATTACGTATATACCAGTTTTTACTGAATAATCACTCACTTTGATAAGAACACTTCGGAATTGATAAACTGGTCGTGGTGGAGTACATTTTCGTGCCAGGGAATTCCCAAAAAATCGAGGAGTTTTGTCATCCATTTCCGGGGATTCGAGACCAAGTCCTCGTAGTGAATCATGAGACACCTCTTGCGGTGGTTCACACAGTCAGTGCTCATTCGTTGGACCACTTTATTCCAGAAGAGAGCGGCTGAAAGGTAGCTCTTCGAGTCCACGCCTGATATGGTCACGTTTCGACTGACAATTGAGTATGCCACGGCTCGGCCGTCGCGGATCATGAGCACGAACTTTGAGCGAGGGAATATCCGCGAGAGATCCTGCACGTAGTTGAGCACTAGAGGGTCTTTGTTGCACAGGTACTTGGCGCTCTTGCCGTGGTTGAGGATAATCTCGGATATAAAGGCGCGCGTGGCTCCGTCGAGCGTCTCTTCGCTGATTCCGGCCTCCCTGAGTCGGCTACTCTCCTTCTGAGACTTGCTCCAGCGACTCCGCATGCTGATCATGCGCGGGATGACCCGCGTCTCTTCCCCGCACCGAACGTCTGGGTGAGCGTCCAGCATGGCGCGAGCCAACGTCGTTCCGCTCCGCGGGACACCGCCGACGAACACAGTCTCCTGAACGGCCTGGGTCAGGCTGGAGGCGTTGAAATGCAGGCTCTGCGGAGGGAGAAACCGATGATAGGCCGGATATTGTCCCTCCTCGCAGCCGCCGCCCCTCCCGGTGAAGACGTAGGAACCGACGAGTAAAAGGATGGCGTTCGCTGCCAAGCTGAGCATCAGCAAGGTCCTGGAAGACCGCCCCGAGAGTGTGGTCCGCAACATCCTCACCGCCTGGGGAAGTGCGACATCGTATGTTGGTTAGTTCAGTTTTCCACGACAAAAGCGAACTCCCCCGGGCGCCGCTAACCTTAATAGATGCGCACTAGATATCTCCCGCATGGCGCATGCGTACTACGTTAGTTTTGGGGGAGTGGCTGAAAACGATCTCGTGCTCTGCAGGCATTTGGCCTTTGGCACTACACTGCGACTGAAGAGAGAAGATGGTTTATTTCAAGTTGCTTCTACTGGCTGTATGTCTGGCCCTGTCTTCAGCTCTGCCTGCGCAGCTGTTCAGAAAGACGGGCGACCGAAAGAACGGCATAAACTCGACGCGAGTAAGCGGAACCTATGGAGTCGACCTCTCCTCCAAATTTAGCCAAAATGACTTCTCATGCCTGAAGAGTAATGGCTTCGATTATGCAATAATTAGGGGCTACGAGAGCTTTGGTGAGTCGTGCTAATATTTGGTATAGACCTAAGTGAGAGAACGAGTTACGATTTGATTTGCTGTAGCTCGACTAATAATCTTGTTCTTTAGGAGCGCCGGATCCGAATGCCGCGGTCAACATCCAAAACGCTAGGGATGCAGGCTTCCAATACGTCGACGTCTATATGTTTCCATGCCCGCAGTGTTCAAAGAGTGCAACCGATCAAGTCAAGGAAATGGGTATATAAGTAGCTACAGAAGAAACTTTATGGGCGTGTTGATTGTTGTTCTCTACTATTGCTCTGCAGTAGACGCACTAAGTGGCAGTAACTATGGCCAAATCTGGCTGGATATTGAGGTCAAATAATTCTCTTATTGCACGCAATATAGCTGACTAAAGGTCACTTATACTCAACTCCAGGGCAGTGAGTATTGGTTGAAAAGTTGTGATGAAAACCAACAGTTCTTCGAGGAGCTATTCAGTGCAGCTCGGGTATGTTTCTATATACATCTCATAGTATCAGTCTGTCAGATTGTTGAGAAAATATTATAGGATTATAAGACAACTGGTGTGTACGCTAGTAAATCCCAGTGGATTCCGATTATGGGAGACGGCTATAGTGGAGGCTCTTCAGCACAACTTTGGTATAATCTTTGGTATTATCTTATCACTAGAAATATTACACAAATGTGTCCCACAGGTATGCACACTATGATGATAATCCTTCGTTCAGCGATTTTGAAGCATTTGGTGGCTGGAGCAGGCCAGCCATCAAGCAGTACGAAGGTGATGCTGTTGTGTGTGGTGTGGACATTGACAAAGACTGGTACTAGAAGAAACTGCGCATTTCTACACTAGCAAGTATAATGACAAACTGGTGCGCTATGTAGACTCTACAACTAGTTGCTGAACTTATATGTACAGCGACTTTGTGTCCGGGCGTGTGTATATATGTATCCCATGGTTTATGTCACATGGTTGATTGCTTATTATTATACCATACAAAAAGCAGAATGCTGCTTCATAAATACTGGAGATAAAATAGGTTTAAAAAACTGTTACTGCACTGTCTGCAGGGTCTTTGATTGATAAGTTGCAAAGTTTCTCCCCTCCTCTCTCCTCCCCTGCCATTAGCTGTCTCATTACCAGCTGCTTGTACACTCCGTCGCGGGCGAGCAGCTCACTATGTGTGCCTTGCTCCATCACACAACCCTTCTCTATCACTATTACCTGCCCCCAAGAGAAAACAAGTAATGACAACATTATGTCATAGAGAAAATGAAAATGAATCTTTACGGGAACAGCAAAAGTGCTTCAACAAATATGTACCTCGCAAACAATAATACAGAGAAAAACAACCAACGGGGAAACTTTTGGGAAGGTTTAGTCTATAAAATAACAGGTTCATATCGTGGGTTGAGAGTTTAAGAGGGGATTTTAGTTAACAAATGATAGGGAGTTGATTGATGCCTGCAAAATGTAAGAAAACACACCTCTAAATCAGTTTAATCCCTTTAGTGGCTCACTGATTGAGCCATGGCTATCTATATACATGCTGCCATACCTGAGAGGCGTCCCTGACAGTGGAGAGTCGGTGAGCTATGACGAGGACAGTCCGACCTGTCATGGCTCTGTCGATGGCCTCCTGGACCAAGTGCTCGCTCTCTGCGTCCAGGGCAGACGTGGCCTCATCCAAGAGGAGGATGTCGGGGTCCAGCAGGAGAGCTCTCGCAATGGCATTCGCTGCTTCTGGCCTCCCGACAGACGAATACCTCGCTCACCCACCATCGTATCATAGCCATTCTGTTGACAATAACCACAGCAATGTAATATACACAGCCAGATTAAATGAGACATACAATGCTAAAAACCATTGCTGCATTATAAACTCGTGTACGGTCATCCCAGTGTTAGAAAACTAGTATATATATATATACAGTGCAAGTGCACCGCACCGCACATAATTAGCTGCTGAAGGGAGAGGAAAAGTATGGTAGGGAGATGAAAATAGCAGGAAAATTGGGATTAAGCGAGTTTGATTTACGTGGGTTTCACTGCATAAAACTCACCTCAAAGGATGTGATAAACTCATGAGCATTTGCCTGTTTTGCAGCCTCTTCAATCTGTTCAGCAGTTATATACTCCAAGTTATTGGCATACAGTTTACATTCCACCTACTTCTTCCTGGGTAGCAGCGTCTTTGCCATAGGCGATATTGTCTCTAATCGAGGAGGCAAAGAGGACGGGCTCCTGACTAACGAGGCCGATATGTCTCCTGAACCAGGAGGGGTCAAGAGTCCGCACGTCCTTCTGCCCGAGGAGAATGGTCCCGTCAGAGATCTCGTAGAAGTGTTCGATGAGTCGGACACATGTCGACTTCCCTCCGCCGCTAGGACCCACCAGAGCCACCACCTGGCCCGGCTTCACCTCGAAACTGATGCTCTATTATATATAGCAGTAATTATTATGCATTTCGTTGTCAATACACACAAAACTACAGATTCAAACTTTAGAGAGAAACTTTTTGCTAGGGAATCGGTGTATTTTCTGCATGAAATGAGGTTGCACCAGCCTACAAAGGGAGAGTTTTAGCTATTCTGAATGATCCACAGAAGAAATGCCAAAGGGGCATTATATCAGTCGAGAATATCAGTGCTAACCAAGTCTTGAAATTTCCCCCTTCAAAAGGACTATGATTATAGTATAATTATACTAATGTAGTACTTCCAACACAGTGTTGTTCAATACTGCACAAGACTAACCTTCAAAACAGGTTCCTCAGATCGAGAAGGATAGCTGAAAGAAACATCCTGAAATGCGATACCTACAGACAACAGAGCACTGCATTGTATTATCGTTCATTACATAACAGTCCAGACCTCTGTGGAAAAGGGCAGGTATTTGGTGTCCATCCTTCACCTCACTCTCTCTGTCCATCAACTCAAATATCCGAACGGAGGCCCCGACAGCCTATAATTACACACACATTACGTCACACATGCCCATAGTAATCCATGGGAAAAACACACCAATTACATCATTGGTACTATATATATCTTGTATTAACTCCCCAATATACACATGCTCATAGAAGCCCACAGAAAATACATCATTGGTGCTATATATATCTAGTATATACCTGCATGAACTCCCCAACACACACATTACATCAAACATGCTTACAGCAGTACATATAAAAATACGACCATTACGTCATAGTACAGTACATACGTACCTGCATGAACTCCCCGTAGAGGTTGGAGAGGAAGGCGAAGGACATGGCGAGGTTGAGAGTGTAGAGCATGAGTGATATGAGCGTCCCGGGAGCTATCTCACTGTGGTACACCAGGTATCCGCCGTACCACAGCACCAGGGCCGAGGCCCCAAACACCAAGAACGTCATGATCCCCATGAACGTTCCCGAGAGGAACGCCAGCCGGCGACCCAAGTGGTAGCTCTTGTCAATGTCCACGTCGTAGATTCCGGTCATTTTGAGCTCGTTGGAGAAGGAGCGGACGGTCGTTATGTTGCTGATTGATTCCTCGGCGGTGCTGTTGGCGTGGGCTAACTTGTCCTGGAAATCTTTCCTCAAGTTCTTCAACCATCGCCCTGAAGTGGCACAAGCAAAAGGAGAGTAGAGTTAAGGGGACTACAACAGTATGACAAAGGATACAATGAGATTTCCGGATTTTTTTACAATGGATGTTGAGTGTATGATGGTGATTTCAGACGAAATAGCAAGAACTTGTCCATAAGCTACCCTAAACACCCAACAACCTCTCAATTTGCACTACAGTTGCACTCACCATACTGGACGGCAGAGACGGCGATGATAGGTACTATAGACAGCAGGACTGCTGTGAGTCTGGGACTGATGTAGAACATGAGGCCTATGGAGAGGATCATCTGTAGGGTGTAGCGAGCCAGCATGCTGATGTTGACCGTCACCGCATTCTGGATGACTTGCGTGTCGGACGCGAGTCGGTTCGTCAGCTCTCCCGTCCTGTTCTTGTCAAAGAACCCAATTTCCTGCCTCATTATGGATGCAAAGAGCTGCGCGTGCAATAGAGACAGGATCAGGGAATCTCTATGAAAAAACAGCCCTGCCTTAACTACCAACAACATTGTTACAGAAGACATGCATAGGCTAGTCCTATAATATCCTCAGGCTTCTTATGCGAGTAGATTTCATTGACTTGTTTTCTATTATTATGTAGAAACAATTAGCAATAAGGCAGGGCTGTGTTTGGGATAAATGAAAAATCGCAGGCAATTGTAAATGGGGAAGAGGGCCATTTCTTTCAGGAGCATTCTGAGATGAGTTACGGCGAGTTGTTAAGACTCACATCTGCGAGTAGTCGAGCACGATCTCGTCTCAGCAGAGCGATTGTGAAGAGATGGCACGGATGAATGAAGGTGCCGCCCGTTGTTCAGCCACCACAAAGACAGCCAGCAGATCATTAGTCAGCCTCCTGCTGGTTCATGGCAGCTGTATGTGGACACACGCACGACAGACACGTGAGTACAAAGGGGAGTCATCAGTAAAAAGTTCGTGTGGAGTCCGTAAATTTGAGAGGACATAAAGTTTTCGCTCTAGCATACACAAAATGTAATTTTGTGTAAATTTGTACTTGTGTCTAATGTACGCTCTGTTCCGTCTGTCTTTCTGCGCATATATATATATATACATTATATGTGTGTATCTAGCTTCACCAATCCCTCTTTTGCCTCTATTTCGCTGTCCTCCACACCCCAGCCTCTAATATGGGGTGTCAACGATTTTGCATTTCTGTAGGTACACCAGTGGAAGAAGAGACCAGCCAACCATCATTACTAGTTGACTATCGTTGGAGTATGGAATAGTAACACACTCTGTGCCTTTCTTTCAATTTTCATACGGCACTTATATCTTGGACCTTCCTATGTACAGTCTAGTAGTCCGCATATTATAGTGAGAGCATTTACCCATGGAGAGCTGGGTGCAGGTGACATCTTCAGTAGTTTGAACCTCATATGAAGACGAAGAGCTGAGAAAAAATGGGAAATATTTCCACAAGTGATTCAGCAAAATAAAGAAGGCTTATGTTCTTGCTGCCCACTATATAACCTCAGGCAAGCAGTGCTATCCAAGTAACTCTGTACAATTACGTGTTTGCAAACGCAGCAAGCATGCAATATACTACATATTTGTAACAAGATACTGGTGCATTTATGCAGGTCTAAAAGCTCCTGAGCGTGACATTGTGTACATGTGTAATAAATACACAGTGCAAATTTGTATAGTCGGAGCTCACCAGTTGGTGCGAGTGGGGAGGGAGAAGTCGATGACTTTACCAAAGAGATAGGGAGCAAGAGAAGTGGCACCGGATGACACAACCAGACTCAGGACTCCCACAGACATCATTGGATACTCCTATATAGAGAGAGATGAGAGAGAGGAGGAGAGAGGGAGGGGCATTAGAGACGCAGGTATGCTAAGTATTAGCACTATACAGGCAAAGGGAGTTGAGAGGTTGTCGACACAGCTATGTGGCACATGGTAATAAGTAAGACAAAAAAGCTAAAGAGTGTTGGTCACATATTTTCTAAATAATTTACAGTCGTCATAGTGTTTTTACTTTTATTCCTTGTTGCACACTGCATGCTAAGATACAAGATTCATTTGGTGTTTGGGGTTGTGTGTACTGTCACAGGTTTTTGGCGATGAGAGTATTTGTTTTTTGAAACAGGCGCCTCAAATCTATCTGCCTTTTCTTTTCTTCATTGCTTCCCTTCAGTACTATCTTCGTCCTCATCCTCCTCATCTTCTTCGCCCTCCTCTGCATTGATGAGGAGTTGAAGTCTCTGGAGACGGACCGTTCTCCCCACAAAGAACCAGCTAGCCACTCCAACTCCAATCTCAAGCAGAGACGAAACGCCAGTGCCGCCACACACAGTATTCTGTAGGTGACGTGCATCCGTATCTGGGTGTTCACCGAATCCCAACCACCTCCGACGATTTGGTGGATTATCACAGCTCCTTTGGCTGCAACGTACAGGATGCTGACCCCGGCGGCTACAAATACGCCTGTCCTGCAGAGCCGGGAGTAACGGAGCGCAGAACTCCGCTTCGCTCGGCTGCGAGACGTCGTTGCTTGCAGGCTGTAGCGCTCGAGGAAATAGAGGCAGGTAGCGAGGACGAACCCGCGGGCCACAGCTAGAACGGCCAGGTCGAACGTGGAGTGGGAGAAGGAGAAGTCGTCGACGCTATGTCGGAGGTATGCGCCGTTCCCGCCGCCCAGCCAGAGACCCAGACATATGAGGGGGTCCAGGGCGACAAGGAAGATGACTACATTGGTGAACCTGGCCCAAGAAAGGCTCCGCATCCTGCTCCTCGACTGCGACTGAGAAGAGGGTTCCATTCCTCTTCCTCGTTCGTTTGCCAGATGATGAATAGCTCACTGTTATACACGCAGCTAAGCCTCTGGCTGGCACATGGGGGTAACGCCCCCACAAAAGTTCCTCCGGCCCCCCCACTAAGGATCGTACCACGCATGCGCATTTATTCCCTTAGCCCGAAGAGCACATGGCGCCGAAGGAGAAGACGGTGAAGAAGACGAAGTCAAGTAAGCCGGCGCCTAGCCGCCGTCTCTACAGACATACTTACTCACTCACTCTCTCGCAGGCAAGCCCGTCTCGACGGCCAAGGCCACCAAGGCCACCAAGGCCAAGGCGGACGCGCTGAAGGCCAAAAAAGCGGTCCTGAAGGGAGTCCACACGAAGCTCCGGACGAAAGTACGGACGACCGTCCACTTCCACAGGCCCAAGACCCTCAAGCGCATGCGGCGGCCCAAGTACCCGCGCAAGAGCATCCCCAGCCGGCCGAAGCTGGACCAGTACAGCATCATCAAGCACCCGCTGACCACGGAGAGCGCCATGAAGAAGATAGAAGACAACAACACGCTCGTGTTCATCGTGGACCTCCGTGCCAACAAGCCCCAGATAAAGCAGGCCGTGAAGAAGCTCTACAACATTGATGTGGCCAAAGTCAACACACTCGTTAGGTACATGTCAGTCAGGTCAAGTCTACTTCACTCCTAAGTGTCAAACTCCTCCCCTTAGTTTGAAGAAAATGGTCTGGTGAAAATTAAGCGACTTCTCGGTTGTGCTGACTTGGAGTCTTAGTTTTGCGACACTCAATAACATCTATATACCCGTGTGCAATATTAGATATGTCAACACCTCATATCCGCAAAGAGCCAACACTGCCCATCCCAACATATTCACGTATTAGTTACCAGACCTTTCCTCTCCCAAGCGCTGAGTCTAAAGCATTATAATTATCTTACTTTCTGCACATATTATTAAAAGATATGTACACATCACACACACTGCAGACCTGACTGCAAGAAGAAGGCCTATGTAAGATTGGCTCCAGACTTTGATGCTCTAGATGTTGCCAACAAAGTGAGTAACCAATATATGATAACACACAGCGTTTGGTATTCTTTACTTTCTCTTTCAGATTGGTATAATATAAACTGGAATTTTATCGCTGTACAGTTGTGCATTGTCTTGTAAAATTATATAATATTGCGATGTTGTGCTTAAAAAACACCGACACGTGTATAATTACAGTTACCCTAAAGGCACGAATGACAGATGGTGCATGTGCACACACAAGTCTCATAGAATTCATCGTTAAGAGTCATCGCGATTCGCGACTGCAGTTATAAGTTATCACTCTTGAGGTCCTGGGAGTTGTCACTGCTACTGGAGGTTGAGGAGTAGTTGACTGGCTTCTGCAAGGAAGAAAAAAACGACAAATTTGTAGCGATTAACCAGCAGTCTTTCCCAGACTCCACCCACACAATCATAAGATTTTTTGCCAGGGTTGAAAACCTACCAGCTTATAATTACATATACCTGACCCTAATATCGTCCCCAGACCCCCAAATAGGAGAGCTAAGTTTATATAGCAGTCTGTAGAACAGTAGGCTGAAAGTCATATTGCTAAAACTGAGACAATTTGAAGAGGGCGGGGTCTGGGTATTATATATATATGAGGCTAGGAGTGACTGGTGTGTGGCGGTAAACCTTGGATAATGTGCGAAGGCTCACAATGGTCCGTGCCTCCGGTGGATTGTTGATGATTTCGTATTCTTTGTCGCTGTCCATATCCACAACTTGCTGGTACTTGTTCTCCTTGTAGTAGTTTCTCTTCTTCAGGATGTAGAGCACAACCACGTCACTTATCACCACCGCCTAGATGTAGGGGGAGAAGAAGAAGGAAAAGGTGTGGAAGGGGAAGGATCGTGAGGAATGGCGAGCGAGAGGAGAGGGAGAAAGAAGGAAAAGGGTGTGGAGGGGGAGGATGGGAAGGGGAGCGAGA